ACTGTCCTGAGTTATACACTCATACGGAAGAAGCTGAGATCCATGGTTCGATGAAGGACAAAAATAGTTGACATGGTATGTTCCGTAATTTCCTTTGCGATGGTAACGGAAGTTGGAGTTCGATGATCATGTTGATCTGTTGGGTTGTCAGTGTTGTGGGCCATGACAAAGATATACTATCGGACTCGGTTGGTTGCATCTCACCGCCAGGTTCAGTACTATATGATGACCGGATAAACGTATCAGGTTCATTGTTTGGCTTACACCGCCAGGTACTAGATGGGAAGTAAAAGGCCCTGCCTCTATCGATGTATTAGTTGATTCCGTCGAAATAAGATAGCTTGTTCCCTGTGAGCTTCTTTGAGATGCTGTAGTGGTTGGCAGTAGTATCAGGCCTAAGAGAGGAATATATGACTACTGTATTCTAATGTAGCAACCTTCCTATATACCTTCAGTTTCTGCATATCAGCAAGTTACTAGTGGGCAGTAATCTGACCAGACCTAGCGCGCTCATCTTGTGTCGCACAATATATACTATAGATCCTACCATATGCTTGACATTTTCTTTAAGGGCCTCGAGTAACTGAGATAAGCTTTGGTATATGATACTAAAACTAGCTAGGCATTAAAACAACCCAAGCATGTTAGCTCAGGGGAAGAGCGCCGGGCTCATAACCCGGAGGTCCCTGGATCGAAACCAGGACATGCTATCTGATTTTTTTTTTACATTTTTTCCCCCTATATGCTCCTCACTTTTGATGACCACTTTATTATTTTGATTTATAGTTCCCAGTTGAAGTACATTTTAACATCAGTGAAGAAACATCTACCAGCTTTCAAAGCTGCGAAAAGGTTCATGATATACTTGCTTGCTGCTAGCCTTACTCTCCGTGATTAAGCTCACGGTGCCAGCACGTGATGCGCCGGCCGCCCTTGAGGGATGCCAAGCCGGCCAACTCGCAAAGGACGGGCGAGGCTCTCGACGACTGCGTTGCTGCTGCTGCATCCGACCATTACTCCCTGACCCCGTCATTATTATTTCCTCCATATCACCGACCTCCGGATCGCGCAGACTGGTCTCTTCGCATCCGTTCTTTTTCTCCGACCCTCCCCTTCACGTCGATCCTCCCCCTTCTTTTCACCTCCCCATCCGGGGGTCCTTGTGGCCGCCATGGCATCCCGTAGGTGTCCTTGTGTTGAACCCTCCCCCACATTGCTATACTGCTCCCATGCCCCTGTCCCCGGAATTCGATCGCTAACTGTCGCCCCCTCTCCCGCCTATCATATATAGTCAAGCAGTTTATCCGAAATGTACGGTCTGCCAAAACAATCGCCGATGAACGAGCAGTCATTCAAAAGGAGAGTGCGGCCATCCGTGCGTCTTTCAGGGAAGAGAGCCATGATTCGGGCATCCGGTTAGCATTGGCACCGCCAACCTCTACAAACCCTCGAACCCGCCGCTCACTTCTTTGCGCAGGAGAAACAATGTGGCCAAGCTTCTCTATTTATTCACACTCGGTGAACGGACACACTTTGGTCAAATCGAATGTCTGAAGTTACTGGCCTCCCACCGTTTCGCCGACAAGCGCCTGGGATACTTGGGGACGATGCTGTTACTGGATGAGAACCAAGAAGTTTTGACGCTAGTAACGAACTCATTGAAGAAGTGAGTTTCGTATTCAAGATCGGCGTAGAATATCCTGGCTGATGTCTTGCAGTGACCTTAATCACTCCAACCAATACATCGTCGGCTTGGCCCTCTGCGCCCTGGGCAATATCGCCTCCGTCGAAATGTCCCGAGACCTTTTTCCCGAAGTCGAAAACCTAATGTCTACTGCAAACCCTTATATTCGGAGGAAGGCGGCACTGTGTGCCATGCGTGTATGTCGCAAGGTTCCCGACCTGCAGGAGCATTTCCTGGAAAAGGCAAAGACCCTTCTGTCGGACAGGAACCACGGTGTTCTGCTGTGCGGTTTAACGCTTGCGATTGACATGTGTGAAGCCGAGGAGGCGGAAGAAGGACAGGAGGGTGTGATCGAGATGTTCCGGCCGTTGGCTGGTGGTCTTGTGCGCTCCCTAAAGGGGTTGACCACCTCGGGATACGCTCCAGAACATGACGTCTCCGGTATCACCGATCCCTTCCTCCAGGTGAAGATCCTGCGCCTCCTCAGAGTACTAGGTAGAGGGGATGCGGCGACTAGCGAAATGATCAACGACATTCTGGCCCAGGTGGCCACCAACACCGACTCGACAAAGAACGTCGGCAACGCTATTCTCTACGAGGCTGTCCTGACCATTCTCGATATCGAAGCAGATTCTGGACTGAGGGTGCTGGGTGTCAACATTCTTGGAAAGTTCCTGACCAACAAGGACAACAATATTCGTTACGTTGCTCTCAACACGCTGAACAAAGTTGTTGCAATTGAGCCCAATGCCGTTCAGCGGCACCGCAACACCATCCTGGAGTGTCTCCGCGACCCGGACATCAGTATCAGAAGGCGTGCCCTTGATCTCAGCTTCATGTTGATCAATGAGAGCAACGTGCGCGTCCTTGTTAGAGAGCTGCTCGCTTTCCTGGAAGTTGCCGACAACGAGTTCAAGCCAGCCATGACAACTCAAATTGGTATCGCTGCTGATCGATATGCCCCTAACAAACGCTGGCACGTTGATACGATTCTCCGAGTACTCAAGCTTGCCGGTGCCTATGTTAAGGAGCAGATTCTCTCGTCCTTTGTTCGCCTCATCGCCACTACGCCAGAGCTGCAGACCTACTCTGTGCAGAAGCTCTATCTCTCGTTGAAGGAAGACATCTCGCAAGAAGGCCTTACCCTTGCGGCTACCTGGGTCATTGGCGAGTACGGTGACAACCTTCTCCGTGGTGGTCAGTATGAGGAAGAGGAGCTGGTCAAAGAGGTCAAAGAGAGCGACATTGTTGACCTATTCACCAACATCCTCAATAGCACATACGCCACCCAAACAGTGGTGGAGTACATCACTACGGCCTCTATGAAGCTTACTGTGCGCATGTCCGATGCAGCACAGGTTGAGCGGCTCCGTCGCTTCCTCAGCAGCCGGACTGCCGATCTGAGTGTTGAGATTCAACAGCGGGCTGTCGAGTATGTCAACCTGTTCGGCTATGACCAGATTCGTCGTGGAGTTCTCGAACGCATGCCTCCGCCTGAGATCCGCGAAGAACAAAGAGTGTTGGGTGCACCGACCAAGAAGCGCCAGAGCAAGATTCTGAAAGACAAATCCAAGAAGCCTGCTAAACAGGCTGAGCAGGACATGCTTCTGGACCTCATGGGCGGCGACGCCCCACCTACCAGCCCAACTACCAACGGTTCCCAGAATACGGCTGATCTCCTTGCCGATATCCTCGGCGGCGACTCCAGCCTATCCTCACCTTCTCCCCAACCCGCACAGAAGCCTGCAGGATCTGCCAATACCAGCGCTATCATGGACTTGTTCAACACGAACGGAAGCACGCCGTCTCCCAAACCTGCCGAGCCTGCATCTTCTCTGGATCTCCTAGCAGGCCTGGGATCTTCTGCCTCGCCCGCACCCGCTCCTGCCCCTTCGGCGGCTCCTGCTCACACGGCCTTCAACAAGAACGACCTCTCCCTTGCCCTCCAGGTCCAACGTGGCAGCGGTGGGAGTGCGCAGATTCAGGCTCGTTTCCGCAACACTTCAAGCTTTGGCCGCTTCTCCAATGTTGGATTGCAAGCAGCCGTGCCCAAGAGTCAGAAGCTACAGCTCAGCGCGATCAACAAGGCTGATCTCGATGCTGGTGACGAAGGCATCCAGATGCTCAAAGTTGCAGCACTCACTGGGGTAAGTTACAACCAACCGCGACATTTTTGCTTGCTTTTGACTAAAGTTCTTTCAGGCCCTCCCACCTAAGCTCCGCCTTCGTCTCCGTATCACGTATGCCAAGGACGGTTCCGATCCTGTAACAGACCAGGTGGACTGGACCGAGCCGTGAACGGTATCCAGGGCCATTCTTTCACAAACCCTTATATTCGCCTTACAAGAACCTTTTAGACCGCCCATCTAATCTTTTTTTATCAACCCAATTATTGTATCAGGAGAGAGGATGGAAGCAAGCAAGCCAACCCTTGGGAGAAGTCTACTTACTTGACCTTTCATAGTTCCTCACATTACATACATGCATGTTCATACATACCCGGTCCGTTTCTAGCTCTCCATTTTCATCATCTCTTCCCTTCGCTGTCATGTGTTCCCTTTGCCTTCTATGTAAATGCTTGGTATGTTGCTGAGGCGGCCTAGGAGTGGCCGGTTTCCCCATATGTGGGGTCTAAAATGAAAATGTTCCTCTTCACTTTACCACGGACTTCTACTGTAGTGATTAGTATATATCTCGGAGTTAGGAGATTTGCGACTGCGGCGTTAACAACAAGTGCCCGGTGATTGCACGGTCGTCTGTTTGCGCTTCAGTGATGCTTTGCAATCCCCAAACCACCAAGATTGTGACTATGACTACCCAACACCGGGTGAGACAAAGGATTAGAAGTTCCACACGTCATCGATAACAGAATGAGGCAAATCGACAGGGACCGGCGTTCTACCAGAGACAGCTGCGGCCTCCGATGCACTCGTGCCTAATGAGCAGTGCCGGGTCAAGGAAGATTTCATCAGTCTGAACTGCGAGAAGTGAGACATTAAGCTTTTGTTTGATGATGCTGGTCGGGAAGTTAATAGTTGATGTAGATAGCTATTAGTAGTGACCTACATACAGTCTTGCATGGTGTTGAGGCCTTCTTTATCATCTTCTTCAACGATGTCTCCTCTATTTGACTCAGGTTTGGCTTTCCGGCGGGTTTTTCTTAGGGCGCGTATACTGACCAATTCGCTCGAGGCGCTTATGCGTCGAAGGGGAGGGTGTGGCTCGGATGAGTTGGCTTCAGTGGGACAAGGCGTCTAAGCTGCAGCCGACCGGATTAAGGCTGCTTGCTTCGCCCAAGTTTGATCTACTCTACTGGTCACATTGTCCAGGCACAAGGACGCCTGTAGCCCATTCTGACTGGCTGCTTCATGATAGCCTCAGGCCGTTGTGTATGTAGATAAGTGATTGTGATGTGATACTTGGAGGTCATGGCTCCTGAGTCCTGGGCTAAGATCCTTCCTTCCTTTAGTAACTTTTATAACTCAACAAGTAGTGATGGTGGTGACTGTTGGGTATGAACCTGCAAAGTTAATGATAACGTAAATGAAGCACTTGGTGGATGGATGCCTTTGTCCTTATCCCCACCATCTTCTGAGCGTTGGGCTGCAGAGGTTCCACTTAGCAATCTCGCCTAATGACAACCATAAAGTAGGCTGTTTCACACTTGAAGAAAGCAATCCTCAAGATGGTGGTGTGGACAGAAGCTGCTACTACTTGTTTATCAGCAGCTTCTATGCGGTCATCCTTGACTGCTTTGTTTGACGATTTGGGTCCAAGATTGAAGGATTATACATTGGTGCCTGATATGACACCTGCTATCCGGTCCACACTTTCGCCAGGATTTTACATCCATGCATGAATTTGGTACATTTGATCATGCAGTCTCAGCCAGGGTAGCAATACCTCTGGTTTTAGTTTGCTCAAGATGTGGACTCTAGATCGGCCAGAAAGTTGCCCATAGTGCAAGCTCATAGGATGTCAGATCAGATAGATGCAGGATACAGATCAACGGGGGCCATGGCCTTGATTATGGGGAAGCTTGCGCCCGAGCCGGATGAGCTCGGAGATAGCCAAATCTGAAACTTACTATACTGCAGATGCTCCGTAATATATTCGCGACAGAGTGACCCGAGAAGATGTATCCCAATTGTAGATCGCATGGTTCGTCTCTGGTAAACTTGATGATGACGATGTCAGGCCGACATCACGTGTAATACCGTATCGTGACCCCCCTCATCTCCCCTCACCCGCAATTGAGGGTCTGCACCTTTCCGAAAACAGACCAATACACAAGGATACCGCGTAAGGGGAGCGTAATAGAGTCCTGAGGCCATCAGCAGCGTCTCGCGTTTCCTCGTTCTTTCTGTCTCCGTCTCTCTCGCGCTCTCTCTCTCTTCCCTCTTCTCTCTCTTTCTCATCTATCTTTTGAGAGTGAGCAAGCATTCAACACTCATCAATCGCGATTCCATTAGATCTAGCATCATCATCAATTTCATCCATCGAGTCCCCTCCGTTGGAGAAACACCGTTTATATCTAGATCTCCGTCCGATCTCATTGGTGTTGGGGGACTTTCTCGCAACAACCAGTGATCGTTGCTCGTCTTGCCAGGGACTTCTGGTTCGCCAATTGATTGCTGCGCGCATCGCGGCCGTCCCCAGTAATACCTGCCCTACGACCATTTGCCTGCTCTCTACTGGACGGTAAGCCAATAACTCAACACGCCCCATCCATCCCCCAGCGTCGTGGGCCACCGGAATTTGATCCAATCGCCTGGTCGGTTGCTCCCTCTTTAATTGTTGGTTTTGCTGCTTTTCCCAGCTGCGCAACGTGCCACACTGCCAGTCTGACCCACGGTTACTTCCGTGTTGCATTACCCGCGTCACATCCCGCCCCGACTTGTTCCCAGATCTTCCGGCTGCTGGAAACTGTCAAGTGCGCATGGCTTGCTGACGTGACCACTCCTGAAGTCGCGCACGCGCTGCCCTCTAAACCTCCCTCCACACTGAGCCACAGGGGCTTTGCCCAAAAAAAGAGTTTCCAGGTTTCTGGTGCTGTATCCATCTTTACTCTGGCTAATCAAATCAGATCTTTCCATTTAGAAGAAGAAAGAAATTAAATCAAAAAGAGAAGAAGAAAAAAGAAATACGAAAAAAAGAAACGCGCTGGAAATCCCAAAAGACAGACAGGCAAGACAGATTTAAAGTACCTTAGAAAACAATAACAAACAGAAACGCCTGCTGCGACCAAACACACAACCCCCCTCCCTCCCTCCACCCTCCTCGTCGAATAATAGATCCCGCCGGTCCTTGCTCACGACGCTAAAGCAGGACTATCGCAGAAGCATTGCCAATCCCCCACACGCGCAACTACGCCCGTCTTTCCCCGTTCAGGCTGTCGTGAAGCGAATCGCTGCCCAGCCAGACGCACCCTCGTTGTCCTTGGCGCGGCTGTATCATAGCGCGCGAGATCGAGAATCTACCGCGTGCTGCACGCAGCTCTGACGTGGTTTGCCAACAGAGCAGTTAGAGACAAGCCCCCGTTCTAAATCCAGTATCTCTGCACGTTCTCAGAACAGCTAAAAATCATGTCGTCGACCTCTCCCTCGAAGGAACCGGAGGTGGAACCCGAAGTTCAATCGGGTGAAGACCAGGAACAAATGGATAAGGACCAACAAGACACTCAGGCGCAGGGTCAGGGAGAGTTCGAGGTGAAGGAGCAGGATAGATGGCTGCCAATTGCAAATGGTTAGTTGCGTTCCCTTGCAGCTTTCTTTTTTTCCTGATTTGCGCGTACCTTACGTTTATCTGCTGGTCAACCGCCTCTTGCCCTACTATGATGGTTCACCCACCCCCTTCAACCGCACACCCCCGTTGCCTTTATTTGATCCTAACCGCCAGTCCTTTTGTATATTTTGTGACTTGAGTTTTCATGGATTGGATAACGCCTCTCCGGGCTCTTCCCTCATTCGTCTCTTGGTTGTTCGCACATTCCCCATCATATAAGCCCACCTACCCTCCTAATGTCTGGAAGTAAAAGACGCCTGATCACTTTCATTCATGCCTGCGACCCTCGCATATATCACAGTTGATACCATGTCAGGATACTAATGTTGCGAATTAAGTCGCCCGTATCATGAAGCTGGCTTTGCCTGAAAATGCCAAAATCGCAAAGGAGGCCAAGGAGTGTATGCAAGAATGTGTGAGCGAGTTCATCTCATTCATTACTAGCGAAGGTTCGTGCGACCACACCTGCTTTACAAGCTCTTTTACTGACGGAGTCTTACCCATTTGTCCGTAGCCTCCGAGAAATGCCAGCAGGAAAAGCGCAAGACTGTCAACGGGGAGGACATTCTATTCGCCATGACCTCCCTCGGGTTTGAAAACTATGCAGAGGCCCTTAAGATTTACCTGTCCAAGTATCGCGAGGTGAGACCTGTGCAACCGTCCCCAATCATGTTGCCTTTCCTCGTAACAGGCGACATTGAGTTTCATGACGTATCCGGACGCTAATGATTCCTCTAGACCCAATCCGCAAGAGGCGAGCACCAGAACCGTCCAACAAGCAGTGGATATGGTGCTGGCGCGCCCGTAGGGGCCCCCGGGCCTGCCGGTCCTGGTGGCCGTCCAATGGGACCTGGTGCAGGGTTTCCTGATGCTGCTGATAGCGCCAACAATATCATGAACCAAAGCTTGGACCCGTCTGAGCAGGACACTTCCGCCTATGGCTACCCCCCGATGGTCGGCCAGCCGCACAACGGCACCACCGGTGAATCTTATTAGTATGCTACTGTGCGGGAGAACCATCCGCTGGACTTGACGACTATCCTGCAGCAAGGGTCTTCTTCGGAATCGGACAAGCAGAGACTCGAACATCAGCCTCCCTTCACCCCTGCAGAGGCTGGATGCCCCTCGTCTCCAGCATGAAAGGCGGCTGGGATCACAGGCCCAAGCGACGAACGTTTCCGGATGTTACTCCCTGTACAGCGATCCTAATTACGCGGTACGATACGATGGGTTACTTACGGGATATTAACGGAACGAACACGAATCAAGCAATACGACAGGAACAACGGAGCCGAGAGATAGTTTTTCACTGATTTGGTTTATTTTTGCTTCTGATTCTTCATCTTCTCTTCTACAATCGGCTAGAGCACCAGCCGACGTGCCAGGCCCTCTTGGCGTTCTCAGTCACCTTCATATACAAGCAACCACCTTCTCATCATCAAGCCAACCAAGAAGAGGTTACCCATATATTTTCATGCTTACGAGTACAATATTCCTCTGCGCGTTATGGTTGACCAGAGAAAAAGGGGTTCCCACCCCCCGATTGCTAGGGCCCAGTTACATGTAATTATTGTCTGAGTTGAGTATCTATTATTTGCGTGTATGTGTGTGTCTTTGTCATTATTTATTGCAGAGTATGGGATACTGTTCAGAAGGGGGAAAGAAGACAACAGGAACCTGACAAATAGAACATGGATTGGACTTCACTGTCCCTGACAGCCAAAAAAAATCACGTGGTTGTATTTCAAACCGTAGAGGCCAAGTCTTATGGTTACCGCTAGATGAATCCTGTACGACGAAAAATAGTTCATGAACGGCTTGCGCGGTGTAACCTGAATCCCCCTAATTACGAACGTACTCAAGAGAAGAACGGGCTAGCTTTCCATCCATCATATAAACAACGGGACGATCGATAGAAATAAACAAAATCAAGATGTCATCATCATAGTCATCATCATAGAGGAAAAAATGCCAATCTAACCAAATCAAGTAAAAAAATACCACGACTCGCTAAATTAACAGGAAAGCAACCACAGATTCAGACACCAGGGGTACGAGATATTTATCCATGCATCCACCCTCCATCTAACAGAAGATCCGACATCGGAGTCTCCTGCCAGTAGATCTGACGCCATTCATCCTCTAACTCGGGTAGTCCTTCCATGGCCATTGGTAGCACGGGTTGGTCCAAATCCGTGAAGGAGAAGAGTTGGCGCCAGTCGAGGGATTCGCGGGGCGCGTCGGCGTCGATGGCGTCGACGACGGGGGTCATGGTGACGGAGGGTGGGGGTGGGGGGATCCAGGCGTCTAGATGATGATGGTGAGGTTGTTGTTGTTGGGGCTGAGGTTGAGGGTGATTGTGGTGTGGGCTTGTCGGGAGGTGGTTCGTGGAGGAGTCTGGGGTGGGGACTTCGAAGGGGAGGGGGCGGTCTGTGGGGTGTGGATTGGGGGTTCGTGTTGTTTGCAATGTTGTGGGTGCGGAGGTGGAAGTGGAAGTAGTGGAGTGTAGGGTGGTTTTGGGTTGGTCTTGAGGGTTGCTGAAGCGACGGGGTGGTCGTTCGCTGGTGGCCATTCGGAGATCTTCTTGGAGGCGTCTGGAGTCTTCGAAGAGGCGGAGGATGGTGTTGGCATGGAACCAGTAGCTTGCTAGCTCGCGGAGGGAGTAGGAGGCTGAGTCAAAGCGGCGGAGAGCGTTGATTGCTAGGACGGGGTTGGAGAAGCGGAGTTCGACGCGGACTTGGATCATGGCCGTGAAGAGGGTGTGGACGCCGGAGTACCAGAGGAACTTGAGGCGGTCATTTAGTCGGAGTTCTTCGAAGATGGAGGTGATGACTCCTGCGGCTGCACTGCAGATTTCGGCGTCGTGTGGCCCGTAGTCATCTGAGTAGGCGGATGCTCGGGGGTGTGGGCGGTGGAGGAGGATCAGGAAGTTGTTGTAGGTGAGATGGAGCATGGCGGACCAGGGGTCCATGTCGGATGCTCGGAGACGTAGTTTATCGGGCAGTTTCAGAGACCAATTGGCAAGGGCTTCGTCGGCTTCGAGGAGGACAGCTTTGCGACGCTCTGGACTCACTCGTAGTCCGAAGCGGCTTCGAACGATATACGAGATCATCACTGAGAGTTCGGAAAAATGGATCACATAGTCGGATTGAACACGAGGTCCGCAGCCTTCAAAGTCGGAAATTGTCAATGGAGACACATCGGAGTCTTCGAGATTACTGTGTATAAAGTCAGCAACCTATTGGGAAGGACAGGAGGAGGTATCTGCTTACATTGCCTGCGGTCGACCATAGGAAAGCGATACCATAACGTCGAATTGCACTATGATATACCATAGCCTCCTCCACATTCGGCGATCACGGGAGACAAACCGGCTGGAGATAGGATTTCGGTGCATTCCAAGACCAGTAGCAATCCTGGCAGCTACACCCACCCAATAATGCGCATTCGCTGCGACATCATCGTCGGCACCATCCGAGTGCCAAGTCAAGAGGAGGGCAGCTTGCACCAGGATATCGCGATTACGCTCAATACGGGAATCAAATAGCCACTTGGCACGACGGAAAAAAATGTCCTTGAGGGCATCGCGTTCTGCTTTGGGACGCGTGACATGGGCTCCCACCAACAGGATGGCTTGTAGCAGCAATATTGGGGGAGGATCAGCGGGGTCTCGATTGCGATACTGCGCCATGAACAGGTCCTCGTCAATGATAGGATACCCCGGATTGACGTGGTCGAAGTAAGCTTGCACTAGCTCATCTGCTAGGGCCGGTTCAGGCAAAGTGAGAGCATCCATGAGGAGCTGATCATGTCCGGTCCTTAACTGTCGTCGCGGAATCTCATTGCCTGCAAAGTGATACACGTCGTCATCCTTGTCACGTTGCTGACGGATCAAGAAAGACATGTTCGACAGCTCATGGCCCACATATATAGCTCGTACACCCCGACGAATCTCCCGACTGCCCGATTCTTCCTCATCGATCAGCTTCACTAGTCGTTTCTCCAAGTCTGCATGCGAGTCTGATTCGGCCGAGACATCCGGGCCCGGAGGACGGTTATATGCCGGAGGTTCTGAAGCTGACCCGGCGCCATTAAGGGGAGGGTGTTGATTAACATTATGATTAAGCGTTTGATGAAGGTTATGTAGGCTAGAGGTGGGAGGTGCGACAGGCGTTGTCACTTCCGGTTGGACGCCGCGGAAAGTGGTGGTGAAAGCGTCAGGCGGGGTTGTAGCCGTGAGGGGCAAAGAATGTCTGTGTGTAGGCTCAGAAGAAGCAGGAGGCGGTCGACAGCGGATTGGAACAGGGTCGAGGATTGATCGCACAGCCAGACGCTTCTTCTTTTCGTGAATCCGACAGTCGGTCTTCCCCGCGGAACGACAATTGGAGCATGGGAGGCCGACGATGCGGGCATCGCATCGGACTTTGCGCCGATGGCAGTGGACGCAGGCCGCGGAGCCTAGAAGGACAATTTCATTAGAACCATAAAAAGAACAGCAGATATATGCAGAGTCCTTGATGATATTTGCAGAGCGTACCTGACTTGCGCTTAGTCACCCCATTCCCGGCGGGTGGATGACTGCTGTGCGCTGCGGAGGTCATTGCCGAAACATCGACACAGATCCAAGGGTCCGGAGACTCGCTAATTCGTCATCCCTTATCCGAGAGATCTGAGGGATAGAGCATAAGGTCAGATCAGGACATGATCTACCCACGAACAGAAGGATTGGAGAGGAGAATGAAGCAGACGGAAAGAAGAAGAAGGAGAAGGAGGAGGAGAAATGGCAGACATGAAGAGGAGAAAAGGCGGGAAACTCGAATTGCTTTGCTCGGCATGGCTGTGATTGGTCGATAATGGGCAATCGGGTGGGGCCCATCCAGGGCGGGTCTGGGGGAGTCACGTGGCGGGGTGCTGATCGATTCCATTGAATTTAGTCAGACCTTCGATGCTTGTTCTCCTCGTCTTCTGGAAGCCTGTCATTGCCCGCCGTTTGAATGCTACCATCCTGCCCATGGTTAGTTTGGAGCATACCTAGTTTACTACCCACGCCCAGGACCCCTCCCATTATCCTGCCCTGCATCTGTGTGACAGCCGGTGTCTCCCTCCGTGCGCTTATCCACCCTGGGATCCACTCCCGGCGTAGCTCCGTTATCAGTCCGCCTATCGTCCATTCCTTCTCTCTCACTGGACCGTTGGTAAAATTCCTTATCAACATACTACATTCTCGAGATAAAGTGTTTGACAAAAATGTACGGCTAACCGGATCCATGGTACTCATACCGATTTCTCCTGCATCGTAGACAGGTCCTGATTTCACGCCAATTCGCACTCTATCAAGCTCTCCACTCCCTTTTCCACCGTCCAGATCTTGACTACTTTTAACCCCGCCGATTCAATCAACGTAGTCCAGTGCTTCTCCGTCCGTTCCCCCGAGGCAATTGACATCATGATCATGTCAAGGCTAGTCGTTTCGAAATGCGCGTCGAGACTGGGGACAACATACTCATTGATCAACAGCTTACTGTACCCCGGTTTCATGGCTGGGATAAGGTTGGACAGGATCTGACCGCACACATCATCAGGCCAGTCATGTAGAACCGAATGCATATAGTACACCCGTGCTCCTGAACCTTGTCAGCCCTATGCATCAATCACTAGAGTAACCGTTTCAAGCCTTACCTTTCACCGGCTGCTCCGTAAAGAAATTATGCGCCATTGGGTCAATGGACACATGCACGTCCTTCACAGTTTCTATAACCTGTGGGAGATCCTGCACCACAAGCCGCCCAGGCACTTCCGGCCACTTGCGACGGAATTCAGACACATCGTGCCCAGTGCTACCACCCACATCAACCAAGAAGACGTCCTTCTCGCTCAGCTCAGTACCCTCAATCAACAGCTCCTGCACTGGGTAGAAGCCCTTGTCCATCCAGCTCGGTCGTCCCTGATGGTACACCGACATGTGGTTGCCGAATTGTTTGGCAAGGGTAGGGTTCTTTTGTACCAATTCGAAGAAGTGTTCGTCGACACGCTGTCCCAGCTGATATGGGGACTTGGTGGGATCGGTTGGGTTGCGGAAACCGTTCTGTTTAAGGAAGGCAGGGATAGCGTAGATACCTGGGTATAACCAACCTGAGCTGGGGTTTGCAAAATTAATGTTAGTACCTTGACCTTTTTATTGGCACCCTGGGTGTCACCTACAGGGCAGGGAAAGCATCTCCATATCGCTCCACACTCAGTGTGATCGAGAGATTCGTTGCGATGTACTCGTCCGGTCCCGCTTCAGTGACGACGGTCATAGATGCCAGATGCTTCATGATGCGCGCTGGGAGGGGTAAGTAAAACACAACTCGACCTGAGAAATACATGCCAGAATTGCAAGTGAATTGGTGGATACTTACACAACAAGACCGGATCACTCTGTGTAGTCACCGCAAGCTCTGCGACAGACTTGGGCTCGTCCCGAGATAACTCGCTGAACACACCTATAGCGAGGGCAGTTTCAATAGCAGCGTGCAGAGTAGCCTACAGCAGAGACCATTTGTTAGATCTCAGCCAGCATACACACATCGCAAAGCATTTCTTTAGAATTCGTGTAATAGACAGGACTTACTGTAGTCCAGCACTGTCTGACAATCGCCTCGCGCGGGGTCTCCAGCGCATTCGCTAAGGATCTCGCAGCATCTCGCAGTCTTAGTCTTTCTTGTGAATCCTCCAGAGAGATGGATTTGTGGGATGCGATCTGGTCGATCAGAGCTGGAACAGCGTCTGGTGCATTTGGTGAAATGGCAATCGTGTCCACGCTCACGTTCGACTGGGACGGCACATGGCCGTTGGAATGGGTGCCTTTCGTATGGTGTCCATTGGTGTGATGGCCATTGGTGTGATCTCCGTTGTTATAATGTTCAATGACTGTTGTGCCGTTTTTATGAGGCATTTTGTAGTTATTTTGGGATTGCTTTCGGAGTGGGTTATAAGGGCTATGCAAGATGTCCGTTTGAATGGCGCCTTCTACTACTTAATATGGGTCGGCAGCCAGACGGAATGAGCAGCCTATGTAGGCTTCTCGCCTTGCGCGCTTCCATAGTACTACAATATAGCCCGTACTAGAATACTTTACTTATGGTACTTAGAGCAATATAGTTAGCCTCCATTCCCTTCCGTGCCCACTGAGGGTTCAAATCAAGGAGACCAGCCTGATACTGCAACCTCCACTGGTCATTTATCCCACTTCTGCCCACTCTGGCGACCTGCAGTAGGGTCGCTAATGTAACGGCGACGCCTTAATAGACTCCACTCCTTGGAGAGGGGTAGTAATGACCCTGGTTGGTTGCTTGTATTGTCATTAGCAGATAATGAAATTTCCATACCAATGGTCCGGCTAGGTCAAAGACGCGTGCCACATTAACGCAGGCTCCATATCGCTAGATGCAATGGCGGAAAACAGACAGGGTTTACAGAGCTCCTTCTCTATGTTCTCTCTGTGATTAGCTGGTACCGTGGGTAACTAGACATGGTGGTTTAAAACGGAGAATTAATTTAGAGGATCCGCACGAGTGAGGTGGCAGCGGCAATATGACATTGTATTAGTCTCTCCGCCGATTTCTGGTGGGTGTTCGAGACTGGATGGTCTAGCTTTCTTAGTGCGGAACTCTCACTAATAAGATCACGGAAATAGCAGTATAATTAGTTCTGAATCAGAGATAGACGGGGTTCGAGGACGGGAGTCCGCTCATGACATAGAGTCCGGCCCCGACGGCTTCGCACCAAAAGCATTTAGCGCACTTTTATAGAGTGCCACTGCTGCGCCGTATTCTCGGACTAGTCTATCTTAATTAACAATTAACAGGCGCCAAACGGGATTCGCGAGATAGGTGCCGTGTAAGGACAAGGGTTCATACCAATAGATCCTACAATCGCAAGAATCGAAGTACCGGGGTTAATTCATTCATCTTGAGCCAGGAGTAGCTGGCATCGGCGAAATGATTATACTTGTGCCACGCGTTTCAGTGAGCGTAGTGAAGTTTGTCTATGCCAGTGCTGTTAGAAGCATCCGTGTCTCAGTAACAAAAGCAGAGGTACCCCTGAGACGGACAAGGGTTGCTTTCAATAAATTATCACCGCGCAAACCGCACTGCTGGCTTGCAGGGATACTCGGATAGCGCATGACACCACACTTCGCGCCATTGACATCCATAGGCCCGGGCCTGCATCGTACTTTTGAACTGCCCATGTGTTACTAGTCTATAGTGGGAAATCCGATGAATAATTTAATATCAATAGGAGATGGTTAAATGTTAGCACTATGGTACGACCCTGTAGCGACGGTGTACTTGGCTGCTGGGGAACTCTGCGATGCCAAGAACATGGTGGATCGTCCAGGTAAGACAAGCAATATAGGCTCATGATGTTCAGCCTTAAATTTTGCTGTAGGGGAAAGTGACATTGAGCCACATGTACTCAGTGTTCGGAAGCGCTTTGAAGTTGCGCACAAGCACTATCTTTTGATCGTCTATTTCAAGGGAGAATTGCAATCTCAAAAATCGCCGATTAGCTGGGAATACTTGAATGTATAGAAGCGATTCCTATTATCAATCTAAATTGCGGGCAGTGGCGTCCAAAAGGACAAAGAAAGCAGCGTACGTAACTCACTAAGGCATTGCACTATACGCTAGGGATAGAACGGTGTGAGATGGTGCGTGACGCCGGCGCCGGCGCCGTCGTTGTGGAACCGGACTCCGGGCAGAAGCTCGTTCGGAAGTCGGAACTGTGGGAAGGTCAAGAAGCTCGGTTAATATTGGGACCTGTTCATTTCATGTGCTCCTTGTCTTTCTTGATCGATCCCAACTATTCCGTAGTAGCGTCCAATCCACCAATCTCGATCTAGCAATGACCGTCTCCTGCTTATTTCAACACGGACAGTGTGCTGAACCCTGGAATGTCGGGCATGTTACCTCGGCCGACAATATAATCGAAGGCCGGCTCTAGGCCGAAAGTGATCCCACATCATTAAATGATGTGTATGAGGGTGCCACGTTTCTATGCCGCTATTGGTTTGCTTGCCTGGGGATTTACTGGACGGCTTCGATGCTATCGTCTGTGTCAGACAGTAGTAGACCGCACATTATTCCTGGTCAGGGGTTTAATGAATTTACATTACTCTGGATCTAGGTGTCTCGACTCCAGAGCCTAGAACGAGAATAATATAAAGGTTGAAGACAAAAGATCCTCCATGAAACTCTAAGGCGACTTCGGATGCACGAGATGGTCCGTAATCGGCCTTCGAAGAGACAGGGATTATGTTGCACAGCTAGTGAACTAATTGACACTAGAGGAAAAGCAAATCCTGTCAAAGTACAATGAAATGCCTGTACGTAAACCCCTTAGATGGATCTCTGGATAGCCTGAGTCGCGAATTGAACTTTTTGCTGGAATCACTTCAACGGAGGACTGTTTGATGTTTGCGGCATTCGACTTATCCATGTCCAACCAAACTTGTGGATGCTGGATACGAAGCGATGGCTGCTGTATCTCCAGATTATGCCCACCAGACTAAGGGCCCACGAATATTGGCTGTCTTCTGGGCCATGACCAGTCTTGCAATTCTAGCTGTGGCAGCCAGGCTCTTCATCCGTATCAAAGTCTTGCGCAACCCAGGTGCAGATGACTGGCTGATCGCAGCGTCAATGGTGAGTCAAGTACACTCTTTTCCAGGTCCGACTGACACAATGGCCCTTTTTGCCGTAAATTCTGACGATATTTAGGTGTTCAGCATATCATATTCTGTAGTAACCACGGTCGACGTCGCTCTAGGTTACGGAAAACATGCAGTCGTCATAGCAGATAGACTAGAACTTGTTCTGCTAGTCAACTATATCAACTTCGCCTTGGGTATAATCTCCTTTGCCTTACCCAAATTAGCCGTGGCAGCCCTGCTGAGCCGTTTCCTGAATCCGACAACTATACAACGTGCGATCTTGTGGGGGCTGACGGGGTTCGTGGCACTAGTGTCGTGCATTTGCATCTTGTTGCTCTTTACCATGTGCGATCCAGCGAGAGCTCTTTGGGACACGTCTCTTTTGTCGAAGGGCGCACATTGCCGGAGCTCGTGGATCCTTGTAGACTATGCCATCTTCACTGGAGGTAGGTGCGACCCTAACAGAATGATAAGATAAGCCGAGCTTAAGCAATGATAGCCGTATCTGCTTTTACGGATCTCTATTTGGCAATATATCCGACAGTCATTTTGCTGAAGCTCCATATGTCGCTGCGGAAACGATTGGCATTGTGTGCAGCGTTAGGCCTGAGTGCGGTGTAAGCAAGAGCTCGGAGAGCCCATCGCCATCAGTTTTCGCTAATAAACAAGAATATAGCGCTTGTGCAATGGCAATCATCAAGTGCATGCAGTTACCAGGTCTTGCTGATCTCAGCGATACGACATGTAAGTTGCTTTTGACGAAACGCCGTATGTCCGGAGTCCGACTGACACTATAGCAGATGCCACAGCAGATCTTGTGATCTGGACAAGGTAAGCCACTATGTGTACTTTGTGGCACTAAGCCGTTGAGAGGAGATCCCGGATATTGACAATATTCTCGACAGTATCGAATCGAACGTCGTGATCCTGGCCTCATGTATCCCCACGTTACAACCGCTTCTCGAAATAATTCTCGGAAAGCGCAGTCTGAGAAGTACCAGCGGATATCAGTACAAAGAGAGCAGTACACAACTGCCCGACTCCGACAAGTGGAACAGCAAGCGGTCCGGACACCGGAAAAGCAAAGGCAATACGATGGTCGCAGATGTTGGCAGCCAAGATAGCATTTTGCAGACAGTTGACGATCACGGGGACGAGAGCCATTATATGGGGCACATCCGTCGTACAGATAACATCACCATTGTGTACGAAAGTGTGACGCCACAGTCAGGTGGTGCTGATGATACAAATAACCATGTAAAATAGGAGGGCTACACTGACGGTGTCTCTAGCATGTTCTTTTCTTTACTGCCTTCTTTTTGGGTTGGTCTATAATAGCGTAAATGTCGTTTCTCCATTGTTTAGACGCAATTTCATACGAGTGCTTCTAGACATCCTGGAGAATTGGAGTATTCCAACTAATTTGGGTTCGAATGCTTGCTAGGTTGGGAAGTTAGCGTGATGGCCCAGCACTATTGACTCTGAATGATGCGTTGCTTCCATACCTTGTTAACGCTGACACAACGCAAATCTTTCAGTATGTGATTATGTACGTATGTCGGCTCTGGACTAATAGACTTGCATGTGCCTAACATCCCGCAGTTGGATGTATCATCCAAAAACGAACCTTTTCCAATTTTCAGCGAGCTGTTGAACGCCTTGATGTAAATCCCACCCACGGATGTCGCAGATCTGTCGAGCGATTTCCTCAAGCAAGTCATCCATTTGTTGACCCGCCGTATGCAGATCGCTCTCAATGAGTACCCTATCATCAGGCAAAGCCTTGATAACGTCGATGACCTTCTTTGACGAAGGTCCGCCGAAGTTTATCACGGAAGAGAAGGAGAAATAGACGTCTGAAGGATTGGATTGATGCAGAAATTGCTTCAATGGCTCCACCGGTCCGGAGTAAGAATGCATGCAGATCCGTGGTGGAAATGGGAGAGACTTTTCTTCTGGCTTTGCTGGCACTTGTTGCTTTCGTTCATCCTCTGCGTCGCTCTCTGCGTGCGCATCTGCAACGCTATATCGTCGGCGTCTCTCCCGCCGTGAGGCGCTCTTCCGCTCATGCCCAGACCAAAGGGCCTTGAAGAGGTCAAAGACCGCCCCATGAGCCTGAACGCTATGCACAGAGACTGGTCGTTGAAGTTCTCCAGCTAGGCGCAACTGAGCCTCCAAGATGGCTTTTTGATGCGCCAACTGAACACGATACGGCGAGAGCTGTCTACCTTCGCGCGACCCGGGGGTCATTCGCTCATCCCGAGTTTCTTTTTCCTCCTCGGTCCACGCCTTGGGAAGCCTAAAAGCACGATCAAGGCCAACCTCACCCACAAGTGAATGGGGATACGCCAGCAACCGTGCTCGAGATTCCGACAGCAACTCTGACAGCGGCTTTGGATCAGGTAACGACAGGATGAAGTCATCATCTGGCTCTGGAGTAAGGACCTCTTTATAGTGCAGCTTCTTCCGCTCAATTGGTGAGGTAGTATCATTGGTGTCGGGCGAACCAGTCACATCGTCGATGATTTGATGCGAGAACCATGGGTGCCAGCCAAAGCACGGAAGCACAGGCCCTGTTGTCGAACTTTGGGCGGACTCCTGACCCTGGGTCAAGGATGTGGCGGTCTGAAGCACTAAGTCTTGGTCCTCTCCACGAGTGGACATGACTGTCAATGTCAATACTTTCATCTGGGGGATTTCCGCAATGGATGACATGGTGTCAGTGGGGTGACAATGGGCGTCAAACACCCCCAAGTGCCAAGGAAATGCATCATTCTGAGTGGTCTCGGACATGGTGCATGTGAAAAGAAAATGCCAAAAAGCCGAGGAGGAGTTCGAGTATCAAGGCAAAAAGAATAATGTTTTCAGAGGTAGCTTGGGGATTGTTGATTGACAAACGATGGGTGATGAATGGAGAGCGAAGCTGTGACGTAAGGAAAAGCCCGCCGATACGAACGCGATACGCGGTGTACTGATGCCTGGGGCAGGCAGCGGATATCGAGCATCACATGCTTCTTCATTGTCCGCTTCTCCGCATTTTAGATCTGGGGATGCAATCATGATTGCTATGTACCCTGCATGGACACTGCAGAACTATTCCTTCCTACTATAATCATGCCACTTGCTTCTCATATATCTAGTAAGAAAACAAATATTTCCATGTATTCAACATCCTCCTTCCACCTTCTATAGCCCACTCTATAGCTGCCCTAGTCCCCTCATCTTCATGTCCTCTATCTCCGCCTTCTTGACTCTCCCCCTCCTCACTCTCTTCTCCCTCCCTCTCGCCCTGTTCGCATGCTTCACCACCTTCCTTTCCATCGTATTTCTTCTCCTCCGCTTCTCTGTCATCTATATCGAACTATGTCTTGCCATAATCACAAACTACTTTGTCATCCCAACAGCCGCCAACACCTCCCTCCTCAACTTCTCCGCATCTGAGCCCACCACTCCAGCAGCCTCCATAACGCCCAAGCGTCGCTCCGTCGACCACAGCTTAAACAACGGACTCCTCACTGCCCTCGCAACTTATCGTCCAAGTCCCAATGCTCCTCGCCGAACGAACAGTTTGACCACTACAACCTCCACCTCCTCAACCCAAGACACCAGCACTGTTCCACTGTATCGCAAAGATGAACCTCCAAGAAACACACCCCCACGCCATTCTGCCCCCTCTGCCCTCCTAACCCTCATCAGTGGCGACGAAGGCCGCGACTTCGAAGGTCTAGGTGGCTGGCGCTGTGCAACCACAACAGCAGCAGCAACCACAGCAACAACAACCACCACCACTGCCACAACGACAAGATACCCAGGCCATCATCTCCTCTCAGACACCGCCTCCCCCTCACCAAATCTCACCACCAACGATAACGACGAAAGAGCATGGCTATCCATCAACGAGCGACTAGAACTTCCTTCTCAGCCACTACTCCCAATCCGAAACAACAGCAACAGCAGCAGCACCAACAGTGAACCCTTCGAAACCCTCCCCTGGAGACATCGACAAATGGCTTCAACCAGCCCTCCCCCCGGAGGCAACAGTAACATCACCCGCCATCACCATCGCTCCGCAACCACCTCCTTACTATCCACTAGCCTGTCCCCGAAATCCTCACTGCCGGATGCTCTAGATCATCCGCAACGTAGGGCTACCTCACCACCACTATCACAGCAGCAAAATAGCAGAAACACGCTCTTCTGCACGCCCTCGCCCACAGAGAGGTTCCCAAGTGCATCGATACCTCGAGTATCGAGCCCTACTGATGGATCAGGGGGATATTTCTCCTTCCGACCCGGTAGCACGAGCAGCACGAGCGGGTCAACGACACCAGGTGAAGAGCGACGATCGCCGAGGCCATCGGCCAAGTCTATGGTGCATTACCCGGCTGGCGTGAGATATCGGAGGAGGAGTATGTCGGGGCCGAATAGTGGGGTGAAGTTGACCAGGGCGTCGTCGGGGGCGGAGCGGGCGTTATAGTTTCTTAGCATCATCTCGGTCATGCTCATGTTCACGCTCATTTGGTGGCGTTGTTTCGTGGGATATGTCTGGATAATGTGCTATCTAATTAAATATTTTCCGGCTGGATATGACAGGGGTAATTCTCCATTTTCCTAGCGATTTACTGATCATGGCACACGAATCTTATATTTTCTATACTTCAATGCTATTTTCCCATCACATTCCTACTTCTACCGTTAAGGTATTTACATTCCACGTAGTCCATGATCGACAGATACCCTTTGAGACATCGCCCGATCTATGAAGAATCGAACCCATCATGTATTTACTGATTCCAGAAGAAAACAAAAGAACAAATCCCGCTATTTAGTGACCCAACACATCATGAACACCTCTTGAAACAAAAAATGAAAATTCTGACCTTTTGTTGGTCAGACTAGACTGTATAGTAATGCAGAGCTCTATGAAGATCGATTAGCTCTCTCCTTCTCAGCCACCTGCTCCATCTCAGCCAAGACGATCCGGTTGAATTCTTCCCATCCGTCCAGATAAATATGATGGCCTGCCCTCTTGATGATAACCACCTTGGCCGAGCCATTGTCTGTTTCGCGTTCCTCTACCGTCGCGTTCTGCAAGATACGCTCCTTCTCTTGATCGAGCTTAGCCTTCGCGGCTATTCCGCCCTTTACGTCCATCCAGTCGTGGTCGCCATACATGAAGATGATGGGGAGACCGTTTTCGCGCTTAGGTGTCGTTGAGGGGGCGGAGTTGGTAGAGGATGATTCTGTATTAGATTGGGAGGTGGTCGTTGTAGCTGCGGCCTTTGCAGACTCGAGGACAGCAGATGCGGGGGACGGGTTTTGCTGGATGTATTGACGACCGACGCCCTCGATGCGGCGGATTAGCGGGCTGCGGGCGAATGCGCCCGGAGCGAGAATGTACGATAGAGCGTATTCGCCGCTGCCGCGCATGCTGAAGATCGAATACGAGTAGTCGTGCAGAGACTTGGCCTCCTCTGCCGGCAGATGGGAGAAGCGTCGGGATGTCCACCCGGAGACCAGGCGCGGACCGAGCGGTCCCGCCCATCGCACCAAACTAAAGGGTGAGATGTTGGCATCCCAGAGGTAGGCGAACCACTTGGGAACCATGCGCCGGGGCGGCTGGTCCGGGGAAGCACCACTATTTGTAGGGGAACCCTTCAGCAGAATATTGTTGTCGCCTTTCTGAAGCTCAGTGGGGGGAACCGAAGAGGCGGATTCGGCGATATTGCGCTGGTTCTGGGTGAGCTCATTCGCCATAGTCGACTCGTTTGGTGCAGGCATTTCAGCCCGCACAGCATATGGATCCTCTGGAATTCCTACGGGGGAAGCTAGAATAAGCTTGTTGAGTCGCCCCGGATATTTGAGAGCGTATGCCACGGCCATGTAGCCTCCCAAACTATGACCGAGGAGGGTGAAACGGTCGATGTTGCGCTTGACTCGCCATTCTTCCAGCGCGTCCACGAACCATGCCTCTGCCTCTTCGATGGCCTGCTCACGCTCCTTCGCTTTGATGCGAAAGGGCGGTCGCGTGCTGCGGCCCATGCCCAGGAGGTCCAGCGCATGGAGTTGCCACCCTTTCAGGCGACTAAGCGGCTCGAAATTTTTATAGAAAAACCCCAGACCGGCACCGTATCCATGAAGCATGACCAGATGCTGATCTGCTTCTTCACCAATCCGCTCGACTGAGAACTCGTTCAGAGCCCGATTTTTCCCGCTCAGCTCCACCATGCTGGAGCGCCACATTCGAGGGCCGTACGGGTCATTGGTAGAACTGGCTGATACCTCGCCCTGTTGGGTTTGATCGGCGGACTGGAGACTGCCTGTGCCTCCGGAAACATTGCTCGTTTTACCGGTCTGTAGGTGGGTTGGGGGTTGATGCTGGAGATAAGGGAGGTGGGAAAGAACTCTGTGTTCGGCTGTGGCGGCGGGTAAAGACGCCCACTGGAAGAAAACCCAGTCTCAGTCACCCATGCGACAATTGACTTTGTTCCTCAGTAAAGAAACGTACCCATTGACTAAAGCCTTCCCTGTAGCCTAGGGGAAACCAGGCCAAGGGGGGAGGCGTTGCGCTGGCTCCGCGCGCTGCATGTGGCGTACTCTCTCGGCCAGAAGCCACGGGTTCCTGGCTGCGGCCGCGGAACTGGCCGCTGGGCGAGTTGAGCGACTCGGAGGCCATCGTAGATGTAGACGACGAGCGTCTAGATTCCGTCGGTCGGGTAGAAGAGGAGATGTATCGAGCGCTTTCAAACGAGGTCCAGGAACGTGAGACTGGGACCTGAAAAGAAAGCGAGGGGAATCGCGCGATCGACACTTTGTCGCTAAGAAAGACGGAGTGACAGAGGGAAAAGCTCTGTCACTCTCTCGACTGCAACGGAGAAGAAGGGGGTATTTAAAGACAGCGAGTGGAAAATAGATTAAGTTCTGTTTTTAGGGAGGCGCAGTGGAGAGAGTAAGAAACAAGTCAGTGGAACAAAACGAGAAACGGTTGAGGACAACGCCTAAGACCGTTAACCCCGATCCGAGATGGAGTTAAAGAATAGTTTTGAGGGTTAGGCAACCAGAGATGATGACGCTGAAGATAATAAATGAGTCAGCAGTACCTAACCTGCACATTTAAAGAACCTGATGGTGAAAGACAGCGTATACATACATATACAAAAGAGAGGCAGTAGATTGAAACAGAAGAGGGGAAAGAGGAGAAGGCCGAAAGTTGAGAAAAGGAACAGCTGAAATGTCCAGCGGAAGTGGAGCCTCAACCAAGTGTTGGCCGATGGAATGAATGGATGACGATGCTTCACTCTTTCTTGTCCTCTCCTTCTCCCTCTCCCTCTCCCCATACCTTTTTCCTGTCTCTCTCACAACTCCTTCTTTTTTTCCATGCGATGAGATAGCGCTGGGCCGCAAAGGCCAAAAATCCACCTCCGTGTTATTGAATTTTCCCCTGCGATCTGAGCCTCGGAGCTTAATTCTGGTCCATCTATTCTTTTCCGTTCAGACGAACCCGATCTCCCTGGCCCTTCCTCGTCTTTCCACTTTCTCTGGCTTCCACTCCAGAGCTCACCATGGCCTCAGCAAGCCTAGACCAACTGGTCAAGGGTTCTCCAGCACCCAATAATCGCCTTGCATCTTCTGCGACATCCTCCTCCGAATCATTGGCGCCTGCATTTCACTCCCAAGCTCCCTCTAACGATCCCTCTTCCCCGCCACGGTCGTCAACTCCCGATCCACTGTCGACCCTCCCCTCTTCCCCACCCCAGATATACCTCAATCTCCTCATTCTCGAGAGCTCTCTGCGAGCTCAATACCTGGCTCTCCGGGAACGCCGCCGACAAAATACCTTTTTCCTTCTCTTGCTTGCCGCCTGGATCGCCTACTTTGCCTACGCGCTCTTTCTCCGCCCGCGCGAAGATGGCCGCGGTGTCGGAGGATCGGTCTATTGGGTAGTCGAAATGGGAGAAAAGGTCGCCCTGATGGGTGGTGTGGTCACTGCGCTCCTGGTCTGGGGAACCGGGCAATGGGAACGGGGAGTTCGTTGGCCGCGGCGCTGGCTCGCCGTAGCCAACCGCGGCCTCCGCACCATGAACACCAAGATCGTGGTCATCCGAGGTCCCTGGTGGCAGGAACTGTTCTCCTACCTCTCTTTTCTCTTTCCCTTCTCTGCACCCTTTTTCCCGTCCCCCGTGGGCGATTTCCACTACGTCGAGCGCCCTGCGTCCGAAAGACGTGGTAGTCGGCAGCACTACCAGCAGTACTACAACCACGACGCGGAATCAGGTCTGGTACAGGAAGACCTCAGCCCGGGAGGGGACTACATTCGACTTCTCCTACTGCCGAAGTCATTCTCGCCCGAGTTTCGCGAGAATTGGGATGAATACCGCAGCGAGTTCTGGGATAAGGAGAATGATCGTCGTGCTCAGCTGCGCCAGAAGTTGCGCCAAAGGGAGCGTCAGCTCGCCCAGCAGGACGGCGGCTGGTTCTGGTGGTTCGGATTGAGTTGGAAGGCGTCGCAACGCCGACGAGTCGCTGCCGCAACGATCAGCCGACCCGGCGATGCTGACAAGATCCCACATCGTCCCACCCATCACCACCACCATTCGTCCAGTATCTCAAAGCTCGTCCATGAATCCAAGTCGCCCTTGCGACGCGGTGGACCACGCTCCGAATCCCACTCCCGCACGCCATCGCGCAGCACTACCCCCGTTGACACTGACGACCGACCCCCGTCCAGGTCATCCGTCAGTGGCCGTCCCCGCCGCGGAAGCACAAGTCCAAGCACAGAACAACAGATCCAACAATCACGAAAGAAGAAGGCATCCAAAGCCGCCACTCGTGGTCTGTCGCCTTTGACGCAGGCCCAAATCCGAGAGGGCGTGCGCACCCCATCCTTTTCATCCGACGATTCCTCCTTTATGGGCACACCTAGCGAAAAAGAGAAACCCAAAGAAGACGGTGCTGAATAGAAATTTCCCCCGGTCCTTGGTCTTCCAAACCAACACCAATTCTGGTCTAATCTGCCAATCATCCCCCGTTTGTCCATTGCCAATATTATACCCTCTGAATTGCACACTACACACAAACACATACAAATACTATCTCATCTCGATGTACTTACCGCCGTCGTAGGGTGTGTGTCGAAATAAAGCTCTTCTCTTCTCTTCTCCCTCCCCTTTTTCTGCATTGCCGATTTCTGCTTTATACATTTCGGTGTTTCCGTTTTCTACCCCATCTCCAATTCGATTCCTTCTCTTTTTAATACCCCTCATATTCTATCCATCTTTACTTTACTTTTCCCGTTTTTGGCGTCAGAGGGTATGGTATAACTATGCGACTGAACTTACGTCCCTTAGTCAGTGACGTGACTGAAATCTTCCACGTCGCATCACATGGCTTCCATTTCCTAAAAGGATTCGAAGAAAGATTAGATCAGAATCAGGATTAGCCCTTGGTCTGGATAGTATATACGCATGCATATATGAGAATCTTTTTCCCTTTGATCTACTATCTTTTGTGTATCCGAGGTATATGATACATGCACTTCTATGTAGTAATTAGTACTATACAGTAGAAGTAACATGAGCAGCGGACAGACTAGACTAGCCTAAGTAGTTAAGGCGAACTCAAATCCAGGCTGGTTCCTGCGCCTCGGACGTAAGGGATATGCAAGCATGCAAGATAAAGGGGCGAACTAGACTAGTGGTAGCGGAAAAAGCAATGAAAGGGATGGAAGGACTAGGGGAGGGGTTGAAAAAGGAAGTATGGCTTAGTACTCCGTAGTCTATCTACTATCTGAGTTTAGTCTCTCAAGAACCTTATTCCGGTCTATCATATCATGTCATATTAATGTATATCAGGAAGCCCTAAAGTCCGGGCTTGGGTAGATGGTTGATTTGTAGACATTGATTTGTGAAGTATGTGATGGACGGCATTCCGATTAACAAGAGATGCATGCACATGGAGGAAGAAGTGGAAAATTAGAAGCCAAGTAATATAGATGATGAGTTTCCGAGACGCCAAACTATCCGTAACAACAGGTTATATGTAATCAGGCAACAGAGAAAAAATAATGTAAATAAATCATGCGCGTGATTCAGCCGTCAGGTAGGTATCCATCCCATTTCTCTAGGTCGTATAACGTTGTAAGATGAGTTTCAGTAGTTTTTTGTTTGTTTTTTATTAGATTCTGTAGACGGTTTCGTCATCCTCAAGGTACCTATTTTAGAAATTCGTTAGTACTTGTGTTATGTGATCAAGGAAAGGGCTAGTGGGCATACATTAATTCGTTCCTCTCGTTCATAGCCCTCAGGGCCTGGATAGCTTCCCCGCGCTGGAAGACGTGCGATTCGCCGAGGGAAGGCGTGCTGCGCAGCGCAGTGTTCACAGCTCCGATAAGCGATTCGACGTCGGCGGTGTCACCGTGGGTGAACAGTCGTGTGCCCATCAGAGGACCCAGTGCTTGCCTGAAGACCGTCAAGCGAGCGGGCTGGATCGGCTCAGATGAAGCAGTCGTATTCTGCGACTGCGAGTTGTCTGTCTGGGACTCGACCAGCTGTGACGCGGGTCGAGATGAAGCCACAGACATCCGGGACTGGCTTTGTGTTTGTGTCTGTGTGCGGGATGTTTGGCTAGAGCGGAGTCGTTGACCGCGGGGACTAGAATTGTACAAGCCATCGCCATCCTCGGAGACAGCATCTCCGTCCGCATCCATCTCTGTGTCCTCGTTGGTGGCCGAACGAGCGTTGGCTGCACGGGATCGGAGACCGCCTCTCCTGGATGATCTGGGGGTGGCGCTGGATGTTTGCGCAGGAGTGTTATCGTCGTCAGAGTCAGAGTCGCTACTGTCTGAATCTTCGTCAAACGAAGCGACCTTTCTCCTCTTGCGGCGCTCATCTTCAACGATTTCCTTGAACATGGCGAACCGGAGGATAGACTCTGCGACCTTGGCATCGCGCTCCTCGACTCTGTTCGAGAGGCGTGACTTGGCGTGGGCCGTGGATAGACGGATCAAGGTTTCCAAGGTACGAGCAGTAATGGGCGATGTTCTGCGTTGGTTACCAGACAGTTCGTCGTTTCTCAGAGCGGAATATGTTGCGACAATGTGGTCGGCGGCACCCTTGGTCAAGACGGGCTTGACACGAGACTTGGCGTACTGAATGTATTTTTTGATGAAGGGAATGCTCAAGATTTCAATGTTCTTGCTCTTGGAACGGCTCATGTGGGCCATGCCGGCGTGAAGCATGACATTGAACTTCTCGTAAACATCTGTAGGCTGGTTCGAGTCCTGCGTATCCTCGAGGCCGACACCAAGAGTTTGGTGAAGCTGTTCGCGGACAGGCGCACCCTCCTCAGTGCCGGGCTGGCGGTAGCGGTGCATACGGAGGACGTGCTCTGACACCATTCTGTCCCTGGAATCCTCAATGTCATCGGTCACGACGAAGAGCAAATCGAAACGCGACAATAGAGAATCCGGAAGGGCAATGTTCTTGTGGGGGTCTTTGTGGGGGTCGTATTGTCCGTAGATCGGATTGGCGGCGGCCAGGACACTGCACCGGGCGTTCAAGCTCGTGTGAATACCGGCCTTCGCAATGGTGACGGTCTGCTGCTCCATGACTTCGTGGATAGCCACACGATCAACATCGCTCATCTTGTCGAACTCATCAATACAGACCACACCGCGATCACCCAGAACCATGGCACCAGCTTCAAGTCTCCGCTCGCCAGTTTCCTTGTCAGACGTGACGGCAGCCGTAAGACCGACACCGGAAGATCCTCGACCTGTCGTGGCAATCGCAAGCGGGGCGGTGTTCAAAACGAAACGAAGCAGTTGAGACTTGGCGGTCGAAGGGTCACCGACCATGAGAATGTTGATATCACCACGCAAATGAGTGCCGTTGTCCAGGTTCTTCTCCATACCACCGAGCAGCATGAGCAGGATGGCCTTCTTGATGTAATCATGTCCGTAGATACTGGGTGCGAGCGAGTGCGACAAGAGTTCAAAAACGCCCTTCTTCTTGGAGACCTTATTGATGTTGCGGATGTCGGTGTCGGTAATGGTGGCCTGTGCGATTCCTCCACCGGACTTTGAAGACAGTTGGATAATGTTATTCGCAAGGACAAGCGTGCGGAATGTAGCAGACGTAGACGAAGCGTTTCTGTTACCCAGAGAGCGGTAAACTCCGACCAACTGGATTCTGTCTCCGGGCTTAGCGCGGTCAACCAGATCATCGTCAACAATCACATCCACACTCCGAGGCAGCTGGCCAGCCGGGGCTCTCTCGGGCATTTCTTGGATCGAAATAGTCTGGTGGTCCATATACGTGGAGAAACCGTATTCTGTGACAAGCTAATATGACGAAACGTATAAGCCTCAGGATGTCGATACTGTATTAGATGAACATACCGGATTCTTGTCCTCATCTTCCTGGGGGTAGATGCTCATGCTCGTGGCACCACTAGCGGTCATTGTCGCATCGATGTACTTTCTTGTAAGGAACTTCTGACCGCGCTCGCTCCAATGCACACTCTGAATGATCTTGGGTCGGACCAAGGAGCATTTTGTGACAATACCCTCCAGGGAGATCATTCGGTTCAGGTGTGAGGAACCGAGCGTCCTAGGGTTACAGGAATATTCTCCGAATGCGCCAACAAAGCCACAATGGTAGTTCTATATACTGTTAGAAACCATAGAGCATCATGGAGGTGCCTTTCATTTCATACCACATCGTCTCCCGTTTCCCTCGATGGCCTATTCGGCAAAGTCTTGATAATCTCTTTAAGGGCCTTTTCGAAGGCATCGGAGTATTCATATGGCGACGTGAGAAGGCTGTATGCGATTAGCCAGAGCGCCTGTATGAGGAAGCGATTATTTCTTACCCATCGGCCATCTCACGGTTATGCGCTCGGATCTCATCGATGCTAACCTGCGCAACGTATGGCATTAGCTTCCGGAACCCATATGCTATGTCCAATGTATGAGGTTATATGCATACTATCAATCGACGCAATCCCCGATTCAACATCAACAGAATATCGGCCCGGTAACTAGTAACTGGTTAGCGTCTGCCATGGCGTGGTCATCCATAGTTGTTGAATGTAGGTTGGTGAGCAACGGACCTGCGCGCTCTCGCATCACCTATATTAGAACCAAGTTAGCCTATTGCATTCAATTGCAGCAAGTCTTTCCGGGCTTACTGGGGTCAAGAAACTCGACGGCGGCACGCACTCGATCCTGTGCGGCGTCGTCAAACTGTCCCTCCATGGCGGCGGACTTTCCCACGGACTGCTAGTAAGAAGAAAATAAGGGGTATCAGGGGAGAATTGGCAATGAAGCGTGAAAACAGAAAACAGCTAGAAGGGTGGGGTCCAGTGGGAGAAAAGCAAGCGGGGAGAAATGTCGAGGTGATTTTTGATGCTCGTTGATGGGGAAGAAAGGGTGGGTTGCCGGGAGGATCTTTCAGGTTGCCATACGCGACAGCTCAATCGGGTAATATTGGAGCGCGTCCGCCAAAAGGACGCGTGCTACCGTGTCAGTGTATTAGATGAGTCAGCCATACATAATGCATGCATATAATACAAGCATACTAGGACTTGGGCTCTAGGAATAAACTACTCCGTACAACAGCAGTAGTAATACCTTGTATGTTCCTCCTAATATCTATCATTTACTTCCAAATCATTTGGATCTATTTACATGAAAAACATCTCTCAAGCCTCATCCACAGCGCTACAATCATAAAGCACTCCTAAAGGAACTGCAGCTTCCGAATGATTATAGCCCAAGTTCAACGCCATTATCTGTCCCACGGCGACCCCATAGTAAGTAGCAAAGTCTTGTAGAGTACCATAGCCCAGAGTAAACTGTGTCATGGTACATGCAGTATTGTCACAGATGGGAATCTTCACTGTCTCGCCCGTCTGTAGGACATCATAAGGGCCAGGGTTCAAGGCGGCAATATACCCAGTTTGAGCGGTCTGATTGATGACGGACTCGACCGTGATGTTAAATCGTTCGTTGGCAATCTTCTGAATGGTGTCTCCAGGCATGATCGTATACACGTGTGGTCCACTATCGATACAAGTGCTGGTGGCCTCGGTGTTGTTGGTGCTGAAGCAACTCAGATCATCTGGGAAGGTCGGCTGAGCAGGAATGCGAAGCACCTCGCCAGCATAGATGAAATTGGGATCAGCGAGGATATTCAACCGGGCAAGGTCACAGGTTCCCACGCCGTATTTGGCGGCAATGGCCGACAAAGTGTCGTTCTCTTGAACAGTATAGGTCTCGTTCAAGGTGGTAATACCTAGGTTTATCACAGTCCCCGTGGTTGGGAGGGCTGTAGGTAGTGTGAAGAGTAAGTGTATGAAATTGAATTGAGACAGAAAAGGTAACGGACCATCGTAATTGGATGCTGGAAGGGCGGCAGCCACTGCTGACAGGCTGAGAAGTGTAGCAACGAGCATGGTTTTGAACTCTAGCGCTCCAACTTGTTCTTAGATGAAATGGGTTGACCTACAACTCTGAGTCCTCTGGTGAGTAGAGTCTCCCTTTATATAGACCAGGAAACCACCTCTGAGTCAGAAAGTTCCCAATCTGCCAATATCTCGGAATCAACCCACTACAAGGCCAAAGACATCACTATCCAGATTTGGCGTCTATGACCGACTCGAGATAGCCGTGCTCCGCAATACCTTGATTATTGGGCACCTTTCTCGCTTTTTCTTACTCGGACTAGCATAGCTTCAACACTAAATGCAAGCGGACTGAAGCCATAGCATGGAATGTCGAGAGTCGTGCCATTCCCACATACCCCAGAGCATGGATGTCATGCGGGGACTTCCCCACAATGACCGGAGGAACTATCGGACAAATGGAAATTCTCCAGCCCCATCCGGAGCATGGATGAGTGTGACCTAGTGTAGATACTAGATAGTGTAGTGGTGTTGGTAATTGTGCGACTGGATGTTTCGGGGGTCGGAGGCAATTGTAACATCCGATCTCCGTCGGCTTTGGGATAAGGCTTGTCCTTGACTGGGCTTAGCCAAGCAAGATTCTTTCATGAGAGCCAAGCTAATGGTGCGTCTGATGTCACACATGCAAGTGACATCCAAGAACTTCCATCAAGGCGGCCTCAAGACCAAGTTAGCAGTTGTAATCTGATAGGAAGATAGGTTATATGTGCTGAGATTGAAGAAGAGAATAGGTAGCAAGGTCGGATCTTTCACAGTTCTTATATTACAAATTGAAACGAAGTGATTTGAATGGATAACATGCGTATTCTCAATCGCCGTTCCTTACGAAGTTGGATCCGGTCCTAGAAAACCCCAGAACACGCACATGTCATCCTTGGCTACCTCTTCGTTTGGCTCCTTAATAGATAGGCGTAAGGTAAGCGCTCAACTTCCAGAGCATGGCCTGGATAGAGGTTGCGTTCTGTTCGCAGATCATGGTGTTGTTGTCAGTCCAGTAGGGGCGCGACGGCCAAGTGCAAAGCTCTTGGACCTCGCCCGCATGCTCTCCAGAAGAAACGGTGGCATTGATTGTGGTGGGCACCACACCTTCTTCCACCCACTTGACCATGTGGGCAAAATTGTCCCGAGGGAAGCCAGCATTGGGTTGCTCATCGTTGGTTGCGCAGTGGGCTGCACCAGGGACAAGATAGAACCGATACCAGTCGTTGAGTTTCTCATTACCATCAGCAAAAGAGAGGTCGGGATACATGATCTTGCGAACCGATTCATGATAGTGAATAGATCCGGTCGGGGGCACACTACTATCGGCCTCCCCGTGGTAGTGAAGCAGACGGCCTCCCTTGGAGTGAAACGGGGTTAGGTCAGGAAGCGTGGTCTGAAGAGAGTCCATGTATTTGGTCATTCCTTCGATCATCCATGCCTTCAGGTCATCGTTGGTGACTCCCCACATGTCCATTTCTGTGACATTTTGCCAGTTTAAAAACTTGGTAATCCATTCTCCGTTGGAGTTAGGAGAAGTGATCGTCCAAGAATCCGTGGTGCTGTCGTAGACAGTGGTGTCTCCAAAACCGGCAGTAGGCTGGAAAGGAAAGTATACAAGGTCACCATTCGAATCTTTCTGTTGTTTGGGAACCAGGTCAGCAGTCTGAAGGCAAAGGAGCGCAGGTGTTGGGAAATGGTCCATACCAGTCCAGTCAGAAGATCCTCGATCACCTCGATATCCTTGGCATTGATAGTTCCATTCTGCGCGGGAGTGGCAGAGGTCGTCTGTCTCTTGCTCCTCTTTCCGTATCCCAGGCCAAGGCTGCTGGTCGACCCAGCCTCGCAGTAGTAAGATTTACCCAGCATTGAGGAGACGTTGAAATTCTGGAAACAGAGATCGCTACGAGCAACCACCCCGTCAACCTTGCCATCCATGCCATCACAGGCATTGATCGTTGCGTTAACCACCGTATCGAACACGCAAGAAGGCGGATAATAGCCAATGGTCTGAATCTGGATGGGAGGAGCGATGTGGTTCACCTGCTGCTGGCCGTAGCGCATAGCAGGGGCACCCGCAACGATGCCATCGTATAATTCGGGGGCACGCTGGGCTTGACTCATGGCCTCCCGTCCACCTTCAGAGCAACCAATGAAGTAGGTGTACAACTTGGTAGCGTTACTCCCGACGTTGAAGAAGTTATTGGTGAAAGCCTTCCCAATCTGGGTCATCTCGGCGATGGCCTGATATCCCCAGTTGTAGATGGCAGGCCAATTGGCAGTTCCATTTCCGAGAATGACAACATCATCGAAGTCAGTGCCACCCCAGTAAGGGAATCCGCCGTCAGTGTAGCCAGTGGCAGCCCCAAAGGCGACCCCTCCGGCGACATCACCCCCTCCTGAGCCGTTGTTGATCTCATACGCGGATCCACCTGTAGCAAGAAATCTGTTCTGGAATGTGTCTGGGCTCGGCATCCAATACTGGACAACTACGCGGTCATCACCGTTTTGGTGGCTGTAGGCAAAAGATACCTCGCAGAAGTTGATGGTCAAGTCCTCCCAGAAAATGGAATCGGTGAGGGAATAGTTGCGATAAAAACTGGCAGATACAGAGCTGGTATCGATGGTGATTCCAGAAGGAATGTCATCGCTAGCAGTGGGCAGAACGGACGTGACATAGTCGGTCGTGCACACACTGTTCAGCGATGCCGCGGATGCGACACCAGCAAGAATGGCAGCAGCCAGGCTGTACATTGCAAATGAAGAGAAGGGACGGGTCTTTGACCCTAGAAAAAGCGATAGAAGATAGAACAAAGGAAATTGAATGGTTGCAATTGTGGAAACAGAGTAGACAGAACTGAGGTTCACGACATTATTATACCATTGGAACTTACAGTGGTGGCTGAAGCTTTGAACCATTTACTCTTTAGCACAACCAAGGCACTTACGTATGTTTCTAGATACTAATTTCAAGGCCTGCAACATGGGATGTTGATCATTTAGTAGCGTGTCTGGCATAGAAGATTGAGAGTCTCCGTGCCTGCACAAATCCCCGATAATCTTATCTTATCATTAAGCTTAAATGCGAGATTTTGAAGAATCGAAACACTTGACCACCTGTGAGTGGCTGATCAAGTCCCTAAGAGCCGAGATTTCGGGTCAAACACATCGGTCTTCGGTCATTGCCAGTCGGAGATTCGGCTTCACTTTCCTCAATCGGTTGACTTTGCGAGTATCAGGCAGGAGACCCATTCCGCAGACGGTGCGGCAGCTCGGCTTTATGCGATGTAAATAACGTATGCTTAGGGCACTGGTAAGGTTGTGGGGTGAAGAAGTTAAACTATTAGTCTGAATTGCCATTGTGGGGACTCGTTAGTTAGATATGGCAACAATAAACACAACCTTGAATCCGTCCTGGCAAGATAGGAGAGAAGGCCTTTCGAAACTAAGTAGGAGGTTATAGGGAACTGAGATAATACTCTCATCTGCAATTCTCCTCAATTTTTTTAAATACAAGCACAAAGCGGGGCCAATGTATCCCCTTCCAGTACTGCAATCTTTAAGAACAACAACAGCATCCTGATAATGACCACCTACTCATACAGTTCATTTTCCACACCAGCGGGTAAAACGCAATCGCCGTGTGGGTTAGCGACATGAGTCAATTGAACGCCTCGTCGTCAATTTAGAGATCGTCGAGGCACATTTGGGCGGAATGATCAACTTTGCCGGAAATCAGACGTGCAGTTGAGGCACCAGTACTTCCCAGCACCAATGACCAAGCGTATCCAGAACTTTGGGCTACGTCTAGTAGAGCCTCGTTGTTAGAGCGCTGGACAGACCATTTGGTGGCCATGTTTGGGAAATGTGAGCCTCACTGTGTAGGATTCCATGTTGGTGACCCTAGGGAGATTTTGATGTAGTGATAGATGGGAAATTGGTGGTGTATGGGAGAAATATGGGAGATGATACCACTGAGCATGCAGAAGGATATGGATCCGTGTCCTGGTCACTAACGATGGAGTATAGCATTCCGCTGGATTGGTGTGGTCTGAGTTCAAATCTACATAATAGCATAGAACAGGTGCGATCAGCCTTCCAGGATGATTTTGCAGCTACTTATCGACTTCAAAGTCAGCAATCCGAGTTCTAGACAAGCCCTACCATGTGATCCAAAGGCTGACGATTCACTGCTGCTTTGGTATACCATTCACTCAGAAGTGTATATTTTGTCGGTCGTCGGTAGTAACCTGTCTCTTCAACAACAATAGCATTCTGTTACAGACCAGCAAGGTATGTAGAATAAAACAGCACCCCAAGCAGAGTTGAGCCTTCTTCAATCAGAAAGCCCAGGAGGCACACATGGTCAAGATGGAGATGGCATCATCTGGTCATCTTACAGGCGCCGTTATAATCAGTCCATTCCTTGATATGATTCGCAACACTCTGCATCTTGATCCTCTCATTGTGGTGAACTTTGGACTCCTCATAATTGGCATCATAACTTCCCTCCGCTCGACTGGAGATATTGTCTACAACTACGCCGCAAAGACATGTCTGTCAACCGTTCACGTAAAAGTCGATGATCCTCTGTATAACGACATCATCCGCTGGATGGCAGACCATGTATTCCAGCATCGCAATTTCCTCTCCGTTCTAGCGCACACCGCAAACAGTTCCGATGCAAGAAGAACTACAAGGCTTTCACGAATGCAGAAAATCATGCACATTAACGGAACGGCTCCCCCCGGTAAGGAGGATGACAGACGATCGTCAATCGAACTGAAGCCATTCCATGGGTCTCGACTTTTTCGCTTCAACCAGACATGGATTTACTTCTATCATAGATCCAACAGCCTCAATTACTCCAACCCCCTGATGGACAGGGAAGACAATACCCACTTGACCCTACAATGTCTCAGCCTATCCCTCTCACCACTCAAGTCCTTCCTCGAAGAAGTCCGTGCCTACGTATTCTTGCAAGGCCTCCGAATCCACCATCTCAATTTACCGCACCCAACCATTCTATCGGGATATCCGCTGGATGCCCATCGCGACTCGCCCACTCCGAGATATCTCCACCATCATCCTGAACGAGAACAAAAAACAAAGAATCCTCCAGGATATATCCGAATACCTACACCCCAGAACCAGACAATGGTACGCCAACCACGGTATCCCCTATCGACGCGGTTACCTCTTTTCCGGACCTCCAGGCACAGGTAAGACTAGCCTTGCGTCCGCCCTCGCCGGAGTCTTCGGTCTAGACATCTACGTCCTAAGCTTGCGAGATCCAACGATGAAGGAGCCAGGATTTATCCGCATGTTCTCGGCTATCCCGACGCAATGTGTCGTGTTGTTGGAAGATGTTGACGCCGCAGGGCTGAACAGAAATGGACCCATGGTCCCTTCTACCACCAACACAAGTAACAGTACCTACCCAGATGATGTTCCTAAAACACTAGAACAAATGAGAGCACCAGAACCAATCCCATATACGGCAAACGCTTCCGCAATCTCCCTATCCGGTTGACTCAACGCAATCGACGGCGTCTCTTCCCACGAGGGCCGCATCCTGATCATGACAACCAACGCGCCGCAGCAACTAGACCGCGCATTGATTCGCCCGGGACGCGTGGACTTGCATATTCGGTTCGAGCTTCCGTCTCGCGAGGAGCTGAAGAACTTGTTCTTAAGTCTATACAGCTGTGACCGTCAGGGTGATCAGGAAAAGCAAGCGTTCGAGGATGAGAAAGAAAAGCTGGAAATCCTTGCGGAGCAGTTTTCGAAAAATTTGCCTGAGGGTCGGTTCAGTATTGCTGACGTCCAGGGGTTTCTCTTGCAGTATAAACGGGAGCCTGAAAAAGCGTGTGAGAATGTTGTTAGTTGGGTTGAGGAGGAATTGGGTGTTGATGCTGAACGAACTACTAATACTGAGTAAGGCTGTGATAATTGGAAGAGGGGAGGGGCCTTTCAATCTAAAACACATTGCAGTCAATCCTGAGGTGGTTGTTGAAGGGGTAAAAAGCGTTCCTTCAAGGGCCAATAGAATGGTCGCGTTTTGTATTTCCAGAATCTGCTCTGTGCTCGAGGAGTGATAAACCTCGTATCACTATCAAGTAGTTGTTTGTAACAGAGCATAAAAAGAATTCTACTTTATGAGGACTCTAAGGACCAAAGTAGCATATCTTCCTCAAACTAATGTAAAGTTCGCACACGATAATGTCTTGGGACTTCGTGTTTCAGCATATTAATAACAAAACAAGGATGACTGCCTCGCATCTTGAACCAGTTCAACATTTACATCGATCTAACTTGAACTCCTCAGTATCCGGTCGTTGTATCCCTCCATCTGACCCTACTTTAATCTCAGCAATCCACAGCATGTACCGGGTAAACGCTGGGTTCAGCGCTCAACCGCAAATGCCCCCGCCAAGTGCCTCCATGACTGAACTGACAGCAACCCACAGTGGTGCCACTGTTGTGCAGAGTAGTCACACATTTCTCGACAGCGGCCAGGATTGTCTTTTTCTCTGCGGTCGTATCGCAGTTTGACCCCGTCGTCGTCGCCTTATACGCATATCCGAGCACCTTCTCCCCGCTGACATCTGTACCGTAGGTCAAGGTGCACGAGTCTGCGTCCGACTTCGACTTGATGAGACCCGCCAAAAACTCCCAAATTTCAAGCCCGGCCTTGACTGTGAAGATCACGTGGGAGGAGACTTTCGCGGTAGTCACGATTTTCTGGATGGTGATGCCCGTCCGCTTCTCCAAGTCCGTCGTGTCGGATGTGACATTCGCCCATTGCCAGGCATAGTCGGCGTTGATGACCTTCAACGTCGCAGTCATATTGCCAAGACCGTCATCCCAGTCTGCAACGATTGGTGTGGTGATCACATCATATGTTGTTTCATTGTCTCCAGCAACACATGGATCAATAAGCCCGCATGCGAGAACGCCACACAGGACCTTGCTGAGCTTGACCATTCTCCGTCGGTGTAGCGGTGATACAGAGCACAGAGGTCGATTATGAGGAGACAAGTAAGTTGCAGGAGGTTCATGCACACTAAAGAGTGTTTCTTAATCAGTACCTAGTCATAGGGTTAGGGCACATTGGAAGTGACGCTTCCATACCTGGTGATAAGTGCTGGAAAGAATGAGGCAAGGACAGTGAGAGATCTGAGCGATGAGTTGATGAAGAATACAGGAAGTCTCAGTGACTTGGGCCCTTTATATACCTTTTCAGCCTGGAGGACACAAGTCCTGTCAATACTCGCTTGAAAGTCTCTAATCTTCAGAGGTGTATATCAGGAGGCTCTTCAGATGGTTTGTTCACGCTAGCAAAGCAAAGGATCAGCTAGCTAGCTTGATTTGTATAGCAGGATCTGAGGAGAGGATTCCTGCTGTCATCTTTACCAGCGAGGAAAGATAAGAGGAGAGCATTCTCCACCTTATGAAAGGCTGTGTTAATCGAATTTTTCTGCGTTTCTTCTACCTTATACTCACTTAGCTATGTGAGTTGGCCTCAAGGCAATCATGCATGATATTGCAGATCACGATGTTATTGTAGATCATCCAGCCTGTAAATGCCGAAGGAGAAAAAGGAACTGACCTGAGTAGACAAATCTGAAGCGATACACAAGTCCCAGGCTGAAAACCAGACAATCGGAAGGTACGGCCCTGATTACCGATCCGGAAAGAGCTCATATCTCCCTTCTGCCTAAAGATACAGTCTCTAGTCCCAAAGCATGATGATGGCCGGTGAACATGTGCTAGTTTGTTTTTGGTGACGCGGCTTTATGAGTCTAAAAAGGATAAGCTTCTGGTTTGGATGGAAAGACGGAGAAATTCCGGGATAATGGAACAGCCTCAATGGCTACTAGCAGTAGGGCAAGAGTCAGTCCCTAAGGGCAAAGTGGATTAGTTCGATTTGTACGTATAAGCCTCCTTTCTTCATGGATCCCCGCTTTTTGGCCCCCACTGGACTACTTACTCGCATGCTTGAGGAAATACGTAACATGTGAAAGTCAATCTATCTGGGTTATCGACTGGATGACATGCCATCTGCACTTGAGGCTGTTGTTAGCGCTGACATGGAACTATCGCACTTCGCAAAAAATCTTGCTGTCACCTGATGTGGGCTGCAATCAAGTTAGTAGCTCCCTAGAATGATACAGTGAAAGGTAGAGGGAAATCGATGGTGGGTATTCCAGGACTAGTTGACGGTGATTTGCAATTAGGCTCAAAGCAGAATTGAGGGCAAAGAAACCAAGCTGTCACGGAACTCTTCATCAATAGTGTACAATTTCAATAATGATCAGGTGCTATGCTTTGACTATACTACTATACATTCAGATCTCTTTATACATATATACATACTCGCCCAACTTGATCATCACACCCCGTTTGGGGTACATCCTAGAAAATACACTTTAACTCAACGAGTCTCACCCTCGCCTAGAGGGGTTTGTCCCTCGTTTTGGGGCTCATATATGTCCTGTTCTTCGGCATCAGAAACATCTTCTTCTTCTGCCTCCTCTGCGACCCATTCTTCTTCCTCTTCTTCGTTTTCTCCTTCTTCTTCTTCTTCTTCGACCTCCATGTCCTCCTCCATGTCCTCCTCCATGTCCTCCTCCAGATCGTCGAAATCATCCTCATCATCTTCCACGAGACTTTCATCATCCATCAATTCCTCCTTCGTTCCGAGTTCCTTGTCTCTCTCCTCGAGCAGCATCTCGGCCTCCATGTCATATTCATCGGGGTAGTCGAGGGTCTTCCTGAACGGCGAGGGTGCAACATCGGAATCTTGCTCATCATCGTCCAACTCGGAAATACCAACATTGATTGGAGGCTTATCAGTTGGCTCCGAAGTGGCGTCTTGTGCTTCGACTCGAATATTGCTGCTGTCTTGCCCCGCCTTTTCAGCAGTCGGCTCTTTCCGCGACTTAGACCTAGTCAGGCCGCCAACACCAAGAATACCGCCTGTCCATACATAGCGATCACGTCCAAGTTCATCAACCATCTCGCCTTTCTCCTGCCGACGCCGGAGGAGCACACCCTGGAACTTCTCACGGAGGTAAGGAAGTCTAGCAACTGCTGCGATCGTCTTAGGCGCCGCATCGTATATAGCCTGAAGATCCGTGCCTCCCTCGTGAATGCTCCGTTCGCGAAGTCGTCTCAATGCAGCAGCCAGATATACCATGGACACGTATGTGGGCTGCATGAAGTCCGGTTGGATCTTGCTCCAATAGCGCCGGCCCAGTTTGCCCAATACATTAGGTGGCTTTGCCCGTTTAGGGTTCTCCATCGCATCAATGGTTGAAGGCACACCCGGAGGTCGTGCACCATATCCTCGACGAAGATTATCCCACCCAGGGAAGTTGGGCATGAACTTATGTTCAAAGACAGTGAAAGCTTCAATCTGATCAGACAACCTGTCGGAGGACGCAAGCATCTGCACAAAGGTGGACCAATTGAAGGTTGTCATGGAGAAGCCTGCCTCCACATACTTTGCTATGACCTCGGAGATCTTCGAAACCTCGTTTCCATAAGCCAAAGAACGCAGATACAGTGAAAGAGGGCGAGATAGCATGAAGCGGTACGCCGGTAGAATCGGGTCCTTCTTTGTCGTAGCTGACTCGGATGGCGTAGCTTGGGAGTCGTCGGGATTCACCAAGAGCTCGGCATGAGATGGTAAGGGCGGTGTACCTGGGTTGAGTTGACGACTAAGCCACTCATCAATCTCAGGAGAAGTGGGACTAGCTATCTTCAATGCGCGAGTGAAAGCCAGGTTCCAGCATTCTTCCACCTGTTGGTACTGTTCAGCCTTCAAATGCGCGAGCATCAGAGCAGACAGCAAACGAAGAGGCGCGATGTCATGGTAATTCTCTTCGTCAGAGTCTTTGGGTGGATGACTAGCGGTATAGTCATCGAAAAGCCTCCGAGCCGACAGATAAGCCCCCTTCATACCATAGGCAGAAATCATATATTCGTAATAAACAGCAGGGAATCCCTTCCTCGCAGACATCCTACCAGAACCCAGCAACGGGTACTTCGTCGCCAACTTGGTAGAGTGGTAATCTGCTAGAGTCTCTGCGAGAAATTTCTCAGAGTTTTCGAGACGAACATTTGCGTGGTTGCCGACTTGACCACCCTGTGCCAAAAGTTGCAAATCTCGCTGGATCTGACTCTTGAGCACAAGGAGCCTCGAGCCAAGTCCCGGCTGGTTGAATCTGTCTTTGATTTCGCGGAAAATGATGTGCACCATGTCCCGATTGCGGTCCTTCAGATAGCCATACAGGATGACTGCGTAGTGGAATTCAGTGGCGTAAACCCGGCGGCCTCGGTGGAGCGCCCTCAGGATGCGACGGGCAGAATCCGTCTGGCCTATAAGCACAAGACTGAGCATGAGAGCAGAATAGGTCATATCATCGGGCTCCAGTCCTGAGGCATCCATCCGCGAACGTATCCTTGATATAGCTTCCAGATCCATCCGGAAAGCATAATTCCATAGCAAGATATTCCACATTCTTACGCGAGAACCCTTGACGTCGAGGCCGAGGCAAGTCTCCGCAACGTGCTCAGCCATCTCCCACTCCGAATTATTGCAATAAGCCTCCACAACTGTGTCAATCATGGGGGCGGTTATCTGCACGTTATGTTGTTGGGCTAGACTGAGCAGATCACGGACATGAGTGACATCGCCTCGGTTAGCACACAGACCCATCATTATACCAAAGGTGTGCGAGCTGGGCTCAACACCCTCTTCCATCATCTTCTTGAACATGGTGAAGGTCCCTGAAAGATCTCCCGCTTTGGAATAAGCTGTGAGCAGGATGTTCCAACATATGTCATTCGGTTGAAGGTTAAACTCCTCCGAAATTCTTCGGAACTGACGCGTGGTCTGTTCAACATCGCCAATTCTGGCGTAGACATAGAGAAGCGGAGCCACAAGTTTGCGGCTTCGCGGCTTTCCGTGGTCCGAAAGGAATCTGTCGAATACATGCCGGACATTATCCACATCACCGGCTCTCGAAAAAACAATAAGCGCCTGCCTGTAGACGTCCTCTGTCGGTTTGCGATGGAAGTGGGAAATCTCATCGAGGAAGTATAAGATACCGGTCGTGATCTCGAAAGAAGCGAGACGCTTCAACAGCTTAGCCAGAAGCTTTCGGGGTGGAGTTTCTTCCTCCATCTGCCAACGGAAATTCCGATAAACCACGATAGATCGAACAAACGTCGATCGGTGCTCTGATTCTTGAAGGGTGTTGATAAGATCAAGATAATTCCGCGAAGTGATCAAGTCCAGATGGTTGAACTTTTGCAGTAGTGCTAGAAGGGTCTCCGTCGCAGTAGCTTCGGCAAACTCCGTGCTAGAGAATACATTATTGAGTATGAAGCGAGCAGCAAGACGTACTGGACTGTTGAGACTCTGATCTTGTAAGTAATCAGCAAGTGCTAACAAAGGCTTATGCACGGTAGACACCTGTAGCCAAGGGGCGACAGTGTGCCACAGCGACTTGTCGCCCAACGGCCTCGATCTCCAAATATCTTGCACATAATCCCATTGTTCAGAGTTCACAAACTGTGCAAAACAGTATGCCCAACATAAGACGCCACGGTTGTAGGAGATTGCTTCCTGACATATCCCATCCACATCCGAAAGATTCCCTGTGGTAATACATGACTTGGTCATGTGCAGATAATCCTCAGAAGTTCGGGACTCGATAGACAGGGAGTTGAGAAGTCGCCTGGCTCTTCTGTTATCAACGTCACGATCAGAGCTGCCTAGTCTCGCCAGCAATGCAGAAGTCAGGTCGAGAGGGTGACCAGCCTTTGAGAAAAGGCTCCATAATTTATCGGAATCTTCGATCTCCTCCTTATCCAATAATGCCCTAAGTTCGGTCTTGGCAGTGTCGCGGTCCTCATCGGCAATTATTTCAGCAGATTCGTCAAGCATGTGAGCCTCAGCGTCCACCCTGTGGTCTAGGCTAACAGCCTCTGACGAGTAGTTCCTGGAAACGCCAGGGACGGCCTTCCTTCTCCGTCGCGGGACAATCCTTCTTGGCGAACGTATCAAGCATGTCGCTATAAACTCCTGTGTGCGAGGGGGATAGAGAAACTCGAGAACGGGGGCCCGCGGGTCCGTGGCTGTCCTTCCGGTTGTCGAGGTGGCGGTTGAAGTATTCGACGCGGATCTTTGCGGTGCCTGCAGGAAAACCAAAAGCTCCGCCCCCGGGCTACTGAACTGCCCAAGAGTTGAATAGATCGACCCCCGACCTCGAATGGCGCCATTGGGATCCCGGAAGAAACGCCGTCCCGCGTTCTCAAGACATCCGGCAGCCCGTTCCAGCATTACCTCGAGAAATTGCGGTGCCAAACCCTGAATTTCACCGAAACTTGACTGCGATGCATAACATATCGGGATCAAACTGTATTCGATGCCAATTGAGGTCAGCGAGCTGGGCATGCAGGAATGTGCAGGGTGCTAAGGGAGTCAGGCCATACCACGCAAAGCAATCTTGTGCACGAAGCTCACAGCCTGCCGTTAGATGGCTGCTCCTCCTGGAGAGATTTAAGAGAGGATCCGGCTTCAGAGAAGACAGAACCGACGGCTCCAAGCAAGAAAGCCAAGGGGTGTGGTTTGATGGCCGGGAGGTTGACGTGGGATAATTTTCGAGATGGCCGAGCAGCAAGCTTTCCCGATGCTGGAAAAGAGAATCCCGCGAAATCAGCCGGGGATTTGTTTGGCCGAGTCCTGACCACCTCAGCCCGCACTCATTCGGGTGGGAACACCACCATCGCCCCGAGCTCCCCCAGTTGTCGAATATTGCTGGCAAAATGGAGATCACCGATTTCATTTTCTCCCAGAGGGAGGAGAGTCTCCTGACGGGAAATTACAACGCTTATCGAGCACACACGACCCGCAAGTTGCACAGCGCCCGCCTGCGACTTGGACAGACAACCCCCAAACGCAGCAAGTACATTGCCAAACGACCTGTGACGGCGGAAGATGTGAACAGCAATGTGGAGTATGTCTCTAAAGTTGTCTTTGACATATTCCTACGAACAACGATATGGCTGGGTCCGCTATAAGAATTGTACTAACACTCCGAGTTCCTTAGATACGTCCACACTCTACTCATCAGCGCCGAACGGGCATGGGCGAACGCAATGCACATGAAGACCACTCACTCAGCAGACCCTTCGGCCAAGGGAATTAGCGGTACGACCAGGGGTCACATTATCTCGAAACTCCGGAAGGCAGTCACATATGCGAAGCAATTGGTGCTCGTTCTCGAGGATCAGGAAACTTCTGGCGCTACGGACACTGATGTCCTCGAAGCTCGTGCATACCTGGCATCCCTCTTGGGGGCATTCTTCTTGGAGAAGCGCAATTGGGAGCAGTGTCTTCAAAACTACTCTGTATCCAGAGTCGTCTATGCAGCTCTGGGTCAGCAAGTCAAGAAGGACGCCTTCCGAGACCTTCTTTCCGGCACTGTCGACCCCAGTATAAGATACGCAGCATATCAACTGAAGCTTCCGCGGTCAAAGCCCATTCCGTCTTTGGCTCTTAGCTATTTCCCATCGGACGCGACCATCAGGTCCGAGGTTGAGAAGTTGGACCCCAACTGTCTGATGGAGGATGCAGCGGGCACACGGAGGACCGCTGACGGGGAGGTGCAGCAACTCCCTGGAAGCATCACATGGAGATCGCATACAGTTGGTCTGGAAGATGCCGCAATCTCACAGGCTCTCGCGTCCGCAGCGGCAGCTGAGTCTCGTCTTAGTACGTGGCTTGCGGAAGACGAGGGTAATAATGCCTCTTCGAAGGACAAAGCCGCTGCTTACGATAATGTTATCATCGCCAGTCAAGATGCCGTCGATGCTACAAAGACTGCGATCGATGATCTCGCGGGAGAGGGAGTTGACCCGAGTGATAAGAGGATGCAGGCTCTGCAAATAACGCGGACTGCTGTTAACTATGATCTGGTTGGGTGGAGAATCGGACGTAACCGTGTTCTTTGCGGAGACAACGACGGCGTTGCTTTCGAATTTGTCCCTACCAAGCTACCCAAGGGTGCCAAGGCTTCTGATGATGCCACCGGTAAAAAGCTGGCACGGCTGCGTGAAAGAGTCGTCCTGTACGATTCTACCCTTCAAAGTATCGAATTCATTCTTGAGCTTCCCGGAGTTGCGGCGGATACGGCGTTTGTCCGGGAGCTAGATGCCAAGCGGCGGTATTTCCGTGCTCTAAGGTACAGCAGCGCAGCCCTCCAGTACCAATATAACATGCTAACTGGAGAGTTTTAGATGTCTGACCATCGGAAGATCGCACGGAATTCTGGGCAAGGCCACCAATGCACTCGCCCTGTTTGCGCAGGCGTTGGCTCTTGTCACGGAGACCGCACGGTCACCCCAATCCTTGACTGAAACGGAAGGGCCACCGAGGCTGGATATCTCCCGCAGCCAGGTCCAGACTCTGGAATCCACCTTGAAGGGCCTTGTTGCGCAATATCGCGGTTTGGTGACTCTGGAGAAGATGTCTGCTGAAGCACAGTCGCAATCCGTAACTCAGCGCCCCGCAATTGAACGTCTACACGATTACGCCGGTGATGCTCTGGATTTGACCAACATTGTTCCTTATCCCCCTCAAATGCAGCCGATTCCAGTGAAGCCTTTGTTCCTCGATGTGGCTTGGAACTACATCGACTACCCTCGCCAAGGCGCACCTACTGCAGACAGGGCTCAGGCTCAACCGGAACCCCAACCGGAAGAGAAGAAGGGTGGACGACGCGGCTGGTTCGGCTTTGGTCGGTAGCCTGCTGATTGTTCAGGCTGCGAAAGGGCATCTAACTCTCCACCGGCTTCATTGCCATGACATAGTGTGTAATGTGCTATTGCATGTCAGCACCCACCAGGTGTATCTAGCGTACATAGTAAATCTGATGATGATGATACTGCGACCAATGAATCGATTAGCAGAATAAGTCTTGACTTTATTTTCCAGATGACCTATCGATGTCTTATCCAAGTTTGTGCTGATTTCCATCTCAAAGACATACATAAGAGTGCATAGGTGTGCCTTTATCTCAGTACTTTTTTTCTGCCACCGCCCAATTGTTCCAGTTTTCTCAGTCAATTTCTCAGATCTGTATGTTCTTAAATCCGCTTAAATCCGCGATTTTTCCTGCGAGGTTCGCTAGGTTCTGCCGCTTAAAGCGGTCTATAAGGCGGTGGGATGCGAGGCGCAATCGCTAAGGCCCAATCAGTCTGTAGTAGGATAGATGTCTGAACTCTTAGAGACGAGATTTCCCATACAATACATTGAAACGGCTAAGAATCCGTCCTCGACACTGCACTGGTAGGCGGGATATCATCCGGACGTCTCCGACTACATCCACACATCATATTGTCAACTGTCAAAGATGCTCAGTTCCCCGTGGAAACCGCACGGGCCAATTCTCCGGATAAGCCGAGCCAACATCCACTCGGAAGTTTGACAGCCGGATCACCTTTCATGAGTCCAACAAATGGTACGATAGCAATTTGTATTGCTTGGCTACCAGTAAACTGCGTCGTCATTCAAATTCCATAGGCTGGTTAGTGGCCGGCTCCTCCGGGCATTCATTTCATTTTACCGAAGGTTTGGAGAGGTGACTGATGTGGCGTTAGTAATTCGTGGTTTGCAGATTATCTCGCGGTGCTTTATGCGGTCTAGATTATCAGAGTTTGTTGTGAGATTAATGGTACGGATACGATGATGTAGCTTGTCTTTGTCTAGTATGGTATTGCTTGCTCCCTGGTGCTATGGTAATTTGGTATTTTATTGGACTTTTGGGAAGATAGAAATGTATTCGGTGGTGGTGAATCACCACTAGTAGTACTGGATATATATTCGAAGCAAGCATGGTGATATGAAATTTTAATCCACAGGCACGTGCCTCATATACTATGGCCATGAAACTGTGGAGATGACTACATCACAGCCAGGACCACATGTTAATAAATTGTCGTATTATTTTCACACTTATCTAAAAAGATGATGGAACATCGAACACACGACATCCCCAGGGTTCGTAATACAATTGCCATCCAGTTAATATGGGTTTGGACCGTTCTGACTATCGAGCGGGAATGGCACCCGCCTCTCCTTTACAAGATCGGTACCTGGTGCTAGTGATTCGAGCTAACCATAACCTGCCTAGCGACTGCTCAAAGGAGCAAGCGCCGTCTGACAATTGGCTGCAGCGCATGTGGGATGTTGCCAAACGAGCCATTCTCGTCAGAATCGGGACACGGATGTACAGCGTGGAAATACGCGCGGATACGAGCGATCATCCAGGGGCAGTTGGACTGTCTCCTCCACATCAGCCATCCTCCCGTGCAGATTTGATTCCTTCATCTTACTCCGTACAAGGGTTTGCTTAAGATTCCCACGTAAGCCCACAAATTCCAGGGTGTCGGTCACGAAAAAATATTATCATTTGACCAGCTATTCCTAAATCCTAGTAATATACTAGATTTTTACGATTGACTATATTATACTCTTGTTTACTTCAAACTCTGTTCTGCTCTGTGAAAAACAAAGACTTTAATCATAATATTCTGCCGATCCTGCACATCGGGGGCTTCCTGCGTCGCCGTACTGTCAGCGTCCGGCGTTCCGGCCAATCCAGAGCGAGTTTGTCTGCCCTCGCCAATAATTCTGCCCCGAAATTAGAGTTGCGTCTCCCCTGGATTCGCTTTCCTCTTCTTTTCCTTCCGCCGTCGCCGCTCTCCTCCTCCTCCTCCTCCTCCCTCTCCTTCCCTACCCCGTTGGAGACCGTTATACCGTCTCAATTGATCAATCAGATCATCCGACATGGCCTCTGTCAACGGGAGCTTCGTCTCCCCCTCGGCTGATGCCGTCGTCTCCCCCAGGCTCTTTGAGCCCACCGGTCTGGTCGCCTCCGTCCTCGAGGGCTTCACTGTTTGGAAGGCCTTGTTGACTCTGTTTGTTGCCGCTGTCATCTACGACCAATGTACGTCTTACCTCTAAGCCAAATCCTGAGATTTGGGGGAAAATCACGTCTCAATTCTAACCGTTTTTATAGTCCGTTATCTCTGGCTCAAGGGCTCCATTGTCGGCCCAGCATGGAAGTTGCCTTTCATGGGACCTTTCCTTCAGTCGGTGAACCCCAAGTTCCACGAATACAAGGCCAAATGGGACAGCGGTGAACTGAGCTGTGTATCCGTCTTCCACAAGTAAGTAACCCTTTGCGACATGTTCCGGGTGTGTCGCGAGGCGCATGGCTGGAAGAGGCCAGATTCTAATTTATCTGCTTATAGGTTCGTTGTTATCGCATCCACTCGCGACATGTCGCGCAAGATCTTCAACTCGCCCACCTACGTCAAGCCTTGTGTTGTGGACGTTGCACATAAGCTTCTTGGTGCCGACAATTGGGTCTTCTTGGACGGCAAAGACCACGTTGAATTCCGTAAGGGTCTCAACGGTCTTTTCACTCGCCAGGCTCTTTCCTTCTACCTCCCTCGCATGGAAGAGGTCTACAACGAGTACTACGCCCGTTTCTTGCGCATCTCGAAGGAGAACAACTTCAAGCCTACTCCTTGGATGCCCGAATTCCGTGAGCTCATGTGCGCCGTGTCCTGCCGTACTTTCGTCGGTCACTACATCACCGAAGAAGCTATCCAGAAGATCGCCGATGACTACTACATGATCACTGCTGCCTTGGAGCTGGTCAACTTCCCCTTCATCCTGCCTTACACCAAGGCTTGGTACGGCAAGAAGGCTGCCGACATGGTTCTGGCCGAGTTCTCCAACTGTGCTGCCAAGAGTAAGGCTCGCATGGCTGCTGGTGGAGAAATCTCCTGTATCATGGACGCGTGGGTCAAGGCTCAGCAGGACTCCGCCAAGTACCGTGAGAAGATCGCTCAGGGTATTCAAGTCGACGCCAGTGATAAGCCCGCCCAGGTCCTGCGTGACTTCACCGATTATGAAATCGCCCAGACCGTCTTCACCTTCCTGTTCGCCTCCCAGGATGCCACTAGTGCTGCCTCTACCTGGTTGTTCCAGCTTATGGCCGACCGCCCCGATGTTCTTGACAAGGTCCGTGAGGAGAACTTGGCCGTTCGCAACGGTGACATCAAGGCCCCTCTGACCATGGAGCTGCTTGACCAGCTGCCCTACACTCGTGCTGTCGTCAAGGAGACTCTGCGTTACCGCCCTCCCGTTATCATGGTTCCCTACTTGGTCAAGAAGGACTTCCCCATTAGCGAGAACGTCACCGTGAGCAAGGGCTCCATGATCATTCCCTCGGTGTGGCCCGCCTGCCACGATGAGGAGGCTTACCCCAACGCCGACTCTTTCGACCCTGACCGCTGGATCACTGGTACCGCCGAGCAGCAGACCAAGAACTGGCTCGTTTTCGGTACCGGCCCCCACTACTGCCTTGGTCAGACCTACGCCCAGCTGAACCTGATGGCCATGATTGGCAAGGCTAGTATGGAGATGGACTGGGAACACACTCCCACTCCCGAGTCGGAAGACATCAAGGTCTTTGCCACGATCTTCCCTCAGGTATGTTACCTTGCGCTCTACCGAATCGATTTAAAAGCTAACAAAGCCCAGGATGATTGCCTGCTTGCATTCCGTCCCCGCCCATGAGCGTTTCTGCCGTCTTCGCTAAAGCACTAAAGACGTCAGGCGCTGCAACGTCAGTTATGCCGGATTCTCCTGCCTTGCTGAAAAAAAGCAAGCGCCTGCTTCGTGACTACGGGCACCCTCTTCTGTCCTGGTGATAGAATGGCTGCAGGCATTTTTTCTTTTGCCTTTCTGAACTGTAACTACTTGTAGTATTGTTTTTCCTTTTTCCAATCCTTTCTGAACATTTTGGATGGGAGTTGCGGACGGTCGACCTTTGAGGTACGGCCACTGGCCTCTGTCTGTTGGAGGCACCAACGCCGCGGACAGGGTGTCTGGAGTAACATGATATCGAAACGATCCATCTGCGGTCGTCCGCTCCCGCGATGAGCGACGCATTGAAGGACATGTCATTTTTAGACCACGCTACCTAGAATTAATAATAATAATGTGACATCTGAGCTGCTAGCCAAGGAATAGAATACCATCACTAGCCTATGTGAAAGATGTAGTTGAATAGGTTTATTCCCACCAGTCCTTCAATAAGCTTAGCTTGTCTGGATTCACATCTAGCCCTTGTCACCACTGCGCCAAGCCTTCACTAGTCTACAGCCATCATGGTATATAAAGCCCATCTCTCCTCTCCCACCCACAAGACTTTCTCTACTCCAACAGCCCAATTCTGGTACAACATCTATATATACACTGCCTAACTATGCAAGACAATGCAGCATCTCTAGGCATATATCTACCTAACTTAGCTATATTCACCAAAATTTCACTGGCGATAGCAGTCTCTCCATTCAAACCCTACATCAGACAAAGATGCTTTCTCACTAACTACCACTGCCTACAAAACACCGACTTCCACCAACAAACCTATATACAACATGCAATATACAAAAAAGCAAATCCACCGGCATGCTACCGCTGCCGTCTGCCCTCTAATACCACACCCACTATTAGAAGAACACATAGAAGGCATGTTGGCACCCCCCATAGTGGCCACTATGCTTGCGCCCATCTACCGAATAAATCTACACATCGTTCGTCCAATCAACCAACACAACCCTGCAAGAAACGCCGGTTATCTGAACGGGTGCATCTCTACCAGCTAGTATTAGCTACTGGGCTAGGTGGAAGTAGAAGGGAAGCACATGTTGTTACTTTTTAAAGCCCATACTGTTCAGAAATGGCTGGGATGGAACAAAAGCATGGACAAGAAATCTTTCTGAAGCTTGTTGGGTGGCAGTCGATAACACCACAGGTTGATGGCATTACATATTGGGATATAGCATATGACACCGCCGATGGAGATTCGGACATGCATACCTGTGCATCGATTTCAAGAATCGCTGCGATAATAAAAGCATCAGGAATCAACGTTGATGCTAATGTCGTCAGTGAACATGGTATTCTCGGTTATAGCAGTGATGTAGGTAATAGCTGCAAGCATTGCCAAGGAGTATATTCGAATCACTCAAAGTAGAGTGATTCTTCTGTCGTCCTCATTGTTGGAGGCACTGGGAGAACAAGCTTTCCAGAGAGGTTGGGATGGAGGCAGGTCCATGATTTCAACCCAATAATGTTATTCCTTGACATCACTCCTGAGTTTCTGGACATTGACTTGAAAATATGCTGCCTACTAGTAAAATGGGAAACTATGGTCTTGATTCTACATACGAGCAAGCCATCGCAATCATTGAGGGATCAGCCGAGTTTACGAAATATTTGAAACTCATGCGAGCTAAAATACCATCAGATACTATCACTGAACGTTGGGCCGGGTCATTTATGCCAGTGTTCTGTCTTTGTTCCCTTTCTTTCATTCAAATGCGGTATATCGATGATCATTCGGGTACGAAGCGATACTTTCGATAGACTTGTCAATCCTCGCCAAACTCGCTAAGAATTCTTCACCAAACTAGCAAGTCTTACCTACCGCCCGGAGGCCAAAACTAGTGTCGTTAAACCGCACAACGGCATACAGCAAATGCCTGTGGACAGACTTCCAGATCTGGTAAACGAAGAATGTTATAGGACGCAGAGGGTCGGGGGTTCGAAATTCATGTTTGGGCCTGGGCGGCTCCTTGAATGGCCAGGCTTCGCGGGGGAAGTGAAGCAACGAGTCAAGCCCTATATACTACCTATATATCTGCTCCTGCTAGGTAGGCTACTGCGTGGAGGAACCCATTGGGTATAAGGTACACTAAAGTCATATACTACCTCGATAATATCTCCTTTTTGGAAAGTATACTATCGCGGATAGTTTTACTACATACCGATACCAAGGTAGAGTATAGTTATTGATAGTCTCGGAGACTCTTCTCTCTTTCTCAATATCTACAAGTACACATCAACTCTGAATATCTTGCGTCTCTTTATGCAGTTGGCCTTCCTGTCATACAGTTCATCAGACCATGATCGATGCAGAGACCACTACAGAAGCTCAACCATCACTCACCGGGGCGGATACTGGGCGGTGATTTTGACATTGCATACAAAAGGCGAATGCTTGCACTCTTGCAACATAAGAAACGGGCACGATCTCTGCATCCAGATGCAAAAATGGCGCGGATTGTAGAATATCAAAATCCCCGTCATACAACTGGCGGCCGATGCAGGCGGGCAAGAAGCCTAGGCCCATTGAGCGTGGTGGTCGCTGGAGATTTTGAATATTCATCTTCCACCACCACTACCATCACCATGTCCACCACGTCTACCATCACCACCATGACCAGTGGTCCACATCCACCACATCCACGCAACATAGTCGTCTAAACACGCGAGAACATCTGACTGATGATGACGCGAGGATTGGACCTGAAAATGATTTTCCATGGTATTATAAATTGCCATTGAGAACACTCTTTTCGGTGTTCATGAAGTGCCTTTGGATGTCCTGGAGAGCCCTGAGAGACACTATCAACCATTAATACATATATATTTTTCTCGATAACAATATGTTTAACCCAAAAGCAGATGAAGCCAAAAATCACCTGAACGGGCGCTGCGAGATTGGTGGTGAAGTCGGGAATCTGATCAGCCGACTATAAATACGAGATGCGCGCCTTGACTGGGCAAAGTATGATCTGTGTGACCGATAGTTTCTAGAAAGAAAGAAGATTAGCACGCTTTTTCATTATGAACACTTTACCCTTTGGGCTTATACTTTCACATTCTAGTCTAACATTGCTAAAATCTTCTCATCTGCCATTATGGCGTTCGGAATAGCAGGCCGGATTGAAACCTGGTAATTGAGATCCTCGATATTAAGGGTAACCAGAGGCCACAGCACTCCGATCAAACAGTACAGGGATTCCCAACTAGGATGCCAACTATTTCTAGAGCACTCCATAACCTACCATTCCAAATCATGTTATGCTATCCATGATAGGATAGACAAAGCATCGCAGATAGACCATGGTGGGAACCTATGGTCAGCTACATAGTTGCTACATATGTAACTGCTATAATTCTGGGTCTTATGGTCTGGTGGTGGTTACCTAACCGGAATTGGTGGGTACAAACTGATGATATGATACTCGACCTGTGCGTGTTAAGGATTACTAGCTATTACTGCGAGCCTCCACAGATGTCGGATTCAGAGGTCTCTTCCCAGATACTGTGCATATAGCGGCGCAAATATCTCCCCTGGACATCCTCATTGCGTCTCAAGAGCCACTTCAAAAGACAGTCAAAGCAAGCACCTGTAAGTAACAGGGCAATGTCCAGTTCGTTTGGGTTGACAACATAAAGCTATCGGGGCTGGCGTGAAGACCTGATGGGATTGGCCCGATGGAATGGGGGACACACTGTGTTTCATCATTCCTTCTATCTGCTTCTGAAAGGACCTACAAGGCATCAAGCTGCTCCGTACAGGGGGAGCAATGGGTACCATGTACAAGGCGATATGCTGCACGAAGGGACTACCATCTCACATTATCATAATGGTGTGCTCGTGTCATTTCCCCCCACAGCAGCTGGAGGTGATCACTAGCCCATAGACCTCAAATACAGAGGGGGGATATGTGCAAACCGGATACCAGAAGGACCAATCGTGTGGATTTACTACAACGAGGTCAGTGGTTCCCGTCATACAGAGATTTGGTCGTATCACATACCCAAGGGTTCGACTGTGTGGGTACAGCACCATGGCGCTTGTTGATATCCCGTTTATTGCAGATATAATTCATGGGGAAAAGATGTTGCTCGTTTCAGCAGAGAATGGTTGATAGAGCACAAGAATCCATTGGTCCCGAAAGTTTTCACATACAGAACAGCATTGGTAGCAGATGGAGACAAGTATGGGAAACTTGCTCTAGTCTCAAATACCAACTCACGTCGCCGCATATTTTGACATAAAATGCCGGCTAGCGAATAGTATGGCCTCCTACTACCTGGCAGCGACTGGTAGTAACCGCTTGATTCCTGGAATGTCTCAGAGCTAGTAGTATGGTCGAGAACACTGGAGCGGGCCCATGATCCTGTCTATTAAGCATTAAAAATGAACCAGACCACCAACTGAAGAAAGCTGGAGATTGAACTAATGGGTCCCAAGGATAAGTAGGCGCCGGAACACTCCGAAGATGACGAGGCAGCAGACAGTCAGCCCGAGGATGAGATTGCGTGATTAACTAAGGACATCAATAATGGCATTCTCGATGATGATCCTTACAGATCTCTCGGTGGCTAAAGATCTCTGGGCCTCATCGAAGGCACTAGTACTGGTACCATATGTCGAATCAAGGTTTTGAGATTCCGGCCACTGTGTCTCCCACCAAAGATAACCTCATGGAAGTCACACCTGCTAATATTCATCGCTTGCGGGAACAGCAAAAGTGGCTAGATAACGAGGAGTTCCAAGTGAACTGTGCTGACAAACAGCTCGCGGAAATAGGTATTAGGAACAGCAAGAATCCCCGTAGCCCTAAATAGTGAAGAAGTCTCCACAAAGCCTACTCTGATTGTGGTACAACCATAGAGGTTATTTGAAGCAGTGGTCATCAGAGCTTCGAAAACCGAGTAACAAACTGGACATGTGCCGTCTACAAAAGAAAGTATTGGCGGGTTGTATCAGTCGCTCACGTACATGAGCCTATATTCACACGTTGAGCCTGAAAAACACCCCCCGGCTGAACGACATGCGGCATGGCACGGCGTTGAAGTTCTGGCAAACCGTTTGTATAAACCGAGCGGCCGAGATAATGGTCTGGGGCTTAGTGATGGGTACTATGATTGCTGATGTTGCCAGTGTGAGAAAAATATGTATTGCACATGAACACCTTTTCAGGATATTGCAAGAAATTTTCGAATAGATTGTTTAGATCTTCATATATATCTAAAACATGTAGTATAAATACATCTCTAGATAAACTATAAATGGAAGGCGGTCAACACCGCAACTGACATCACCCGAAGCCGGACTTCCATCCGTCGGATATCGGCTGTCACTCTAGCATTATCAGCTCGACAACTTTCTCGACTTGCCTATATCTCTAACCCAGACATATCAAGTCATCTTTCTCAGGGGTAAGTACTTCCCCACACACAATCTTCTAATTGTATCATACAGCCGATATCACCCAATATCAAACCACCCACTAACTTCCGCAGAACACCCCCAACTATCTTCCCCATCCGCAACCGCATCAGCAACACCAACAACCTCATCTCCAACCCAGAGCTCAAAGCCAACAACAACAATGGCCTCTCTCCTCCCCCTCCGCCGGGCACCCACGTCCCTCCTCACCTCCACCTCCAAGCCATCCACCCACCTCGCCCGCTCCCTCACCAGCACCTCCACCCGGACCTTCACAACCAGATCCTCCACCCTCCTCCCCAACACCATCACCAAAAGGACCACTGCCATCAACCCCATCCCTCGCCCTCACCACCACCCCCTGATCTCCTCCCCATCCATCCGCCAGAAAAGCACCAAAGACAACGACCCCCCCACCTTTCGCCAATGGGGCTTCGAAGACGTACGTCCCTACCACCACAACCCCCACCCATCCACCCAAACTAACAAAAAGAAACAGATCACCGCCTCCCTCCCCAGCAACACCCCCAACAGCCCGACCCAAAAACCCATTATTCTAATCGACGTGCGCGAGCCCGCCGAGCTCTCTTCCACGGGCATCATCCCCTCGGCCGTGAGCGTGCCGCTAGCATCCCAGCCTGACGCGTTGTTCCTGACTCCAGAGGAATTCGAGACGAGGTTTGGGTTCCCCAAGCCTGGTGTGAAGGGGGAGGAAGAGGACGCGGAGATCGTGTTTTATTGTAAGGCTGGGGTGAGGGCGCGCGCGGCGGCGCAGTTGGCGGAGCAGGCGGGGTATGAGGCGGGTCGGCTGGGGGTTTATGATGGGAGTTGGTTGGATTGGGCGAAGAGGGGGGGTAGGGTTGAGAGGTGGGAGGGGAATGATAATTAATTGATTCTTAGGTAAGTGGTGGTGGTTGTGGTGGCGATGGTGGTGGATGAGGGTGATGGTTGTATATATTACTGTGTATCATGTGAAGTTGGATGAACTACTGTAGGTGTGGTGATGTACTAGTATCAGTACTTATGTTCTGGGGAAAAGTCGAACAAACAATCAATTCAACTAGAGATCCATGATTATCATTAACAGAAAAACAAAAACCTAGGTATCGACCACGCTTTACTTTTCCAACCACCTCTTCTCTTCTCCCCTCTCTCTTCACACCCCCTCTTTCATGTCATGTACAGGCATCTTGCTTTTGATTGAAAGTCGTAGTCATTTCTCATGCAATGCTCTTTTACTTTTCTTCGTCAAATCCAAGAATGCACCTATCATTTCCTTTCATTCTCCTCGCAGAAAGCAGCACATGTCTCATCACGGCAATGGAACTTGAAACCGCTGTACAATACCACGTTAATGGCATGCTGGAGCCCGTTACCAAACGCCATAACTCCGCCACGCTGTACTCAAGTGAGTGCCCAGGGTCTGTGATCGATGGGCCATGCGTAGGGTTGGGTTTGGCATCCGGGCTACAGAAGGGACGGGTATGGCGATCATGGGATGTCAAAGACAGGCTTGAGCTTCTTGACGAGACCCCACTCCTCCATGGAGACGTCGGAGCGGTAGAACTCCTTGAGGGTGTCGATACTGGCACGGGAGATGTGCGAGTACAGAGTGTCCTTGTCTTCGAGCTGACGACCGTACATGGGCTGGTTGGTTCCCTCGATCTTGACGGCCACGGAGGGTTGACCCCGCTTGCAGACCTGGATGGGCTTGTGATCACGCTCGATCGAGACACTGTATGCGTAATTAGTAATTGTAAGGTAGGGATAACAGTGACAAAAACTTACACTCTACCAAGGTCGATAATTTCCTTAGCGCCAGTCTCAGGGTTAGCCTTGACAGCCGCAATAGGAGTGTGCAGACGCAGACTTCCTTCCGCGACATCAACACCAATGACGATGGGATCCTTCTTGTTGAAAACAGCCACAGTCTTGAGCACGCAGGGGAAGACAGCAAGCATCTTGCTCTCCTCCTTGCGGCGCTCCGTCAGCTCAGCCATGTGCTTGGTGAAGTCGTCGAACAGGTGGTAGATGATGTCGGCAGTGAAGATCTTGACGCCAACTTCATCAGCATAGGCAGCTGCTTCCTTGTCCACCTTGACATCGAAACACAGCATAACGGCGTACTCCTTAGCCTTCTCCAACATGGTACCGGCCATCATGACATCACGCTTGTACACAGGACCGATAGAAATGTTGGCGACGGGAATCTTGGAGACACGGAGGAACTCGAGCAGAGCTTCCAGAGATCCAAGAGTGGAGGCCTGCACGCTGACACCACGCTGGTCCCTGGAGACCTTGCTGAGCAGGTTCTCCAGATCGGACATGACCTCCTCCTCAATGTCCTCCTCGTCGTCATCCGGTCCGACAACCATCAAACGAGAACCGGCAATGGCCTGTTCAAGGTCGTTTGCAGCAATCTTAACACCAAGGGCAGCCTTGACCTCCTTGTTGTGCACGTACTGCGACTTGAGACGCAGTTCCTTGAGAGGAGCCGGCGTCAGCAACGCTCGAATATTCGTTGATATAGGACCGTTTAGACCACACAACACGATTCGATCACCCTCGCGGAGGATACCGTTCGACAGGACAACGTCAATGGTAGTACCGAGACCCTCAATGACCTTGACTTCAAGAACAGTACACTCAACCTCGGACAGGTACATCAGAGAGTTGGTCATACGCTCCTGGGTCAGAGTGGTCAACAGCTTGAGCATGTCAGGGATACCTTCACCGGTGTGGGCGGAGGTGGGCACGAGGGAGACGTTGCGGGCCATGGACTTGTTCTCGTAGAACAGCTCCGAGTTGAAACCCTGCTCAGCGAACAAGACCTTAGTGCGCTCCAAACGGGTGCGGAACTCGTTCTGAACGCCCTTGTTCTGCAAGGCCAAACTCTCCTGGAAGCCGTTGTTGTCGATCTTCTTCCAGCCGTACAGACGATCGATCTTGTTCAGAGCGACGATGAAAGGAGTACGGCGATCACGGAGCAACCTCATGGACTCAAGAGTCTGGGGCTCAAGACCGTGCATGATATCGACAACCAGGATGGCAATGTTACAAAGGGAGGAACCTCTCGAACGCAAGTTGGAGAAGGACTCGTGACCAGGAGTATCGATGATGAGCAGACCAGGGATCTTGAAGTCAAACTGGCCATCCTTGTTCACCACGGCAGTCTTCTGACGCAGAGCATCAACAGGGAAGTAAGTAGCACCGATCTGCTGCGTAATACCACCAGCTTCACCTTCCTGGACGTTTGTCTGACGAATCTTATCCAGCAACTTGGTTTTACCGGTATCGACGTGACCCAGAATACAGCAAATAGGAGAACGGAGGTTGTCCTTGGAGCGCGCGGCCATAGCCTCCTCGTGCTGCTTCTTTCTCCGCTCGGCGGCTTCGGCCTTGCGCTGAGCAATAGCCTTCTGTGCCGCGGACTGCTCCTCGTCCTCAGAGTCCTCGTCAGAGGACTCATCGGAATCATCCTCACTTTCATCTTCCTCAGCCTGCTTGCCGGCAGGCTTCTCATCAGCCTTGCCATTGGCGGCGGGCTTCTCCTCTTCCTCGTCGCTAGGAGCATCCCAGCTGTCCTTCACTTCCTCGGCATCGGCAGCCTTCTCCCAGTCGTCGAGTTCGCTCTCCTCTCCGCCAGCGGCGGCGGCGGCAGCAGCAGCCTCGGCCTCAGCCTTGGCCTTCTTCTCTTCTTCCTCCTTTCTTCTACGCTCCTCTTCAGCTTCACGCTGGGCCTTGGCGCGGGCAGCGGCAGCTTCCAGGTCATCCTCCTGCTTCTTGGGTCCACGCTTCTTCCGGTTCTCGTAAACAGGGCGCTTCTTCTCGGCCTGACCCTCTTCCAGACCAGCAACCTTACCAATACCAGCTGCAAGCATCTGCTGCATGCGCCGCTCATTGCGCTCCTTGGCTTCCCTCTGGGCCTTGGTGAGCAGCTTACCCTCCTTACGAAGCTGCTCCTTCTTCTCCTTCTCCTTCTCCTTCTTCTTTTGGCGGGCCTCTTCCCGCTTCTTCTCCTCTTCCTCTTCAATACGGAGTCTCTCCTCCTCAGCGGCTTGCGCCTCGGCTAACAGGCGCTCCTCCTCTTCACGCTGCTTGCGGAGAGCCTCCTGTTGCTTCTGAATAGCCAGCAGGTGTGCAGGGATCTTCTTCTTCTTGCCACCGGTTTCCGGAACGGGGGCAGCAGCGGGGGCGGGGGCAGCCTCTTCCTTCTTCTCAGGCTCGGCCTTAGCGGGCTGAGCCTTCTCAGCGGGGGCGGTGGTCTTCTTCTTGGCAGCCTAGGAAAATGAAATAGACGTATTAGTTCGACACAATCACGGAATCATGAAAGGACCGCAAAAGCGCAAGAAACATACCTGCTCCCTCTTACGCTGCTTCTCACGCTCCTTCTTCTCACGCTCCTTCTCCTTCTTAGACTTCACACGGAAGCCACCCTCCTCCTCCTCGGCGGGCTTGGGCTCAGGCGCAGCAGCAGCCTTCTTAGGCTTAGCCTTTCCGGCGAACACATCGTCGTCATCGAAGGTACCCTCCTCAGGCTGCTTGCTAGCGAAATCGGCATCGCCGTTGGCCTCCTGAGTGGCATCCTCACCCTCAACGAAGTCGTTGGCCGGCTTTCCCTTCTTCGCCTTCTTGTTCTTGTTCTTCCTCAAAGCGGCGAGCAAACCACCACCGCCCATACCAGCATCCTCGTCGGCAGCACCTTCTTCAGCAGCGGGAGCTTCGGCCTCGCCACCGGGGGCAGGGACGGACTCTCCGAGCTCAGCTTCCCAGTCCTCCTCTTGCCTCTTGTTTCCCTTCTTCTTGGGCGCCATATTGATAGGTGGAGGATTCGGTCGACCTCGCTTTTATTCCTTTGACTGGATATGTAGATGGAATTACCCTATATAGAAAGAGTTGAACCGTTAGTCAAGCGAATATAAAACGGTATTATGTGACCGAGCGACGTCGGCAGGCAATGAGGATGAATGGTGGTTGATGGTGGTAGTGCGCACTAACAATGAGGTATCAGCTTTCTCCGGCCCGCGCGATCTGCGGAAGGCAAAGAGTGGCGAGAGATAAGCCCGAAAAGAAAAAAATCCTTCCAAAGGGATCGTGAAGAATGGAAAGAAAAAGAAAGAGCGAAAAACAAGCAACCGTTTTCCCCCCTGGTGGTCGATAAAGATCCAAAGGTTGGAGACTCGATGAGGCGGGAAGGACGAGTTGCCTTTGGGGTAATAAGAATTTTGGGCCGGGCGTTTGGTGGGGACAATCGCCGGATTATTATGCGAGAGGCCGCCGGTGGCCCGCACTCTTATTGTTCACGACTGGCACACAATAATCACCTTCGTACTATTGACCTGCCGGTCACATTCAGTTTGCGTCAAGAATTAAGCGTCTATGTACACAGTAAAATTCTATATATAGCATGCTGCCAATTATTGTCTTTCACAACCGAAATTGTAGATAATCCCTAGACATCCACCGGGAGAATCCGCTGCAGCCATCTCATAACGCTCGCAACAGCATCACTTGTTTCTCCCAGTACGTGTCTTGTCAATTCCGCAAATTGCTCGGGCACTCCCTGCTCTGAGCGGATTCCTGCAGCTGCCGGCCCACCGAGCGTCTCCTTGCTTAGCATCTGCGTTAGATAGCCAGACCCACGTATGAGCAAGCGGCTGAGAATGTCACCGTCAATATGCATTTGAGATGGCTGAGGGTCCATCAGCCCGACTGGGTTGCGCTGTCTTCTCCTCTTGGGAATGAATGGGCAAATCATAGGATCGCGGATGCATAAATCCTGCAGCAAGCGTAGAAGGCGCCACTCCTTCTCACCAATAGTCAAGAAACGATAAATTGTGCCATTCATCGCAGTACCATAGAATACCTGAGAGGTAGTGGAGAGAGGTGACTTATCAGATCCAGAGCTGAGCCTCATCACCGACGAGGGGAGGTGTGCTTCGCACAGAGCTGTGGGTAGCATCTTGTTGGTCTCTGTCACACCATTCTCCGTCAAAAGGCTCACCCGCCCACCTCTGCTGGAGCATAGAATAAGGTTCAGCTTTCCACCAATATAAACATGAGCGAGACCATCATGCTTTTGACGATCATAAGCATGGAGCGTTAGTTTGTCTTCTGTGGCCTTGAGCACCATA